AGAAAATTGGCCCACGTGGAATGGGTTGAATCTGGTGTGGGGTCTGAGAAGAAACCCGTTTTCTGGCTCCCAGCCACAGAGTCGGGTGATGACTCTTGGCCGTTTGGCAGTCAGGTCTCAAGACCACAGGCAGGAAAGCCTTCTCCCGGGGTCCAGGCGCAGGCGGGAAGCCAGGAAGGTGGTCTCCACCATTTCTCCACTTACCCCCTTTTCCCAATCCTATTTTATCTGCAACTAGCGTGGCATCAAAGCAGTTAGGTCTGCGGGTGCCCGTGTGCTGGAGAAACGGAGGGGGGCTGCCTGCGAGGACAGGTGCCGGGGAAGCTGGCCGGGTGAGCATGACTGCTCTGTGGCTGAAGGCACAGAGAACCCAGGTCTCCGGGCTAACCACGTGGTCACTGGGCAGAGCAGGGAGTGGCTTTCCGAGACCCGAGCCAGCAGGCATCTGAGGGGAAACCTGGGTGTGCCAGAGGGCACCCTCAGGCAGGGGCCTGAGCCCAAGGCTCATCCCGAGGTGGGTGTGCAGGAAGAGCGAGGCCGGCCTTCATCTGGGCTTTCCAGGATGTGGCGAAGGACACGAGGGCCCAGCATCTGTTCAGATCCACAGGGCAGGGAGACTCATGCATCTGCTTAGCCCTGGCAGACAGGAAAGCCTCGAGCCACTGGGCAGTGACAGGGCAAACCCCAGGTGTGCCACCCCACCTCCCCCAGTGTGCTCTCTCCTGGGGAATGGGGGCCTTGTTCCCTTTGCCTCCTCCGGGCTGGCTGAGTGGAGACAATGAATCCCTTAAGAGGCTCACCCTGAAGATGGGCCAGGATAGGCCTGAGCATGGCAGGTCACCCATCACCAAGGAAAATGCAGTGCAGGGCTTCCCATGCCACTACAAAGGAGTGCTTCCATATCCCCTAGGGTCTGGGCCTGAGCCTCCTGGGAGACTCACCCCTGCAGAGGTGAGGATTTCGGGCATTTGCTGGAACTCAGGTGATGGTGGAGGGGGCACCTGCCACAGAGTCCTAGCAGGACAGGAACAGAATCAAGGTTTCCTCGCTAGCTGGGAGGCCAGGATCAGTTTCAGTGCTTCCCTGTGCCTCAGTTTCCCTATCAGCCTCCCTTGCAGGGTTATTTACAAGTGCCTGAGGTGAACTGAGGTCATGAGTGCAGTTCCAGTGTGGGGAGGGTCCCTCCTCTCCCTCATCCTACCAGGGACTTGGTGCCCTCACTCTTCTCTAACGATGGGGCCATGTCTTTGAAGGCCACGAACAGCATCTTTGCACGCCAGGCAGGAGTGAGTCACTGAGAAATCTCCATGGTGGTGGCACCTCCCGTTCCCAACAGCCCCTCCAGTGACTTGGACACACCCGAGGGCACTGACTGTTCCCATGAATGTCAGCAATGCCTCCAAGTGGCCTTCCCAAGAGAGGGCCGGTCACGTCCCGGGGTGCTGGCTTCCCCCAGCTCTGACAGCCAAGATGTGAACTGGGCCCAAATAAGTAGGAAGTAGAGGGTCCAACCCAGCTCTGTCACTGCCGCTGTGTGACCCTGGAGAAGGCTCTGTCCTCTGGGTTTCCATTTAGTCCTCTGGCAGCAAGGATGACCAGTTGTTGGGTGGCCACGACCCAAGTCCTCCTGGTGTTGGGAAGGGGACTGGCGGGAGGCATGGGGTCTATGGCCTTAGACAGCTCTGGGATCAATCCTTCTCGAATGCCGCCCCCAGCGGCCCACTGTCCTGCCTCCTTATTCAGAGACCTGAGAAAAACATTCTCTCTGGGACCTCTAACCACGTGACAATCATGGAGAATTTAGCCAAGAACCAAACACATGCCACTCCTGGCCAGAGTCCCTGGAAAGGGAAACGTGTTCCCCCGGTTCTCGCGAGGGAGCAGGCTCTCCTTCCACACAGACGACATGTGCCCAGTTACCACGGCAGAGCACCAACACACAGGAAGGTCTAGGGGAGGCCCCTTTCTCCAAGCCCAGGCCGGAAACTGCCAAATCAAAACCGTGTGGCACTCACTTCCTCCTGAATCACTTGGGTCTTAGAAGATTGCTGAAAAAGGAAAGAAAGCGAGCAAGCCTTCGCTAGCCGGCCAGCCTGTGGCACCTTCGGTCTTTCCAGTTCCCTAGCGTGGTGGCCCATGTCCCATCTCCTGGGTGCAATGCCTTCTGTGCACCCTGCTTCCCATCCATCTCTGTATCCAGACCCAAGACAGTTGTGAACCAAGAAACACATGAAAAGGGTTTCACACTTTTTATGACACCACCCGGCCCCAGTGCCCGGCTCAGTCCCCAGGTGCTGATCAGCACCGACAAAGCATGTGCTGACTGGCGCAGGGAAAAAAAAATGGCCCTGGGTATGAACAGGAAAGCCTCTACCATGCTGCTTTCCAGGCAGGGATGTGCTGCAGCCCAACACCGTCAGCACCATTGAGGCCGAGTATGGCCCTGGAGAGCTGTCTTCAGAAAGACTGGCAGGACGTAGGGGGCCAAGTGTACTCTTAGGGCCCCACACTGTGAAATCACAGGGCCAGGAGCCGCCCAGGGTTCTGGGGGAGACAGAGCTGCCAGGCGAGAATCAGGTAGGCAGATGCGACTCTTCACACGTAGGTCCCTAACCCCTGCAACGCAGGGCCTGAATTTGGCTTCCTTAGCAAAGCAGGAGCTTACTCTTGGCACTGGGGGAAGGGGAGGGGGGAGGCTGGCGTTTTTGAGGGGGAGGAGAAGTTGCAGAGAAAGAAGAATCCTGAAGCGACAGACAGTGGGACAGCTGTGGCCTGAACCTGGTGTTCCTGCTTCTCGGATGTGGATGTATTAATTTCCATAAATGCTAATAGTCCATTTCCCCAACAGCTATTACTTATGCCATCTCCGCTTGGACACAGTTCAACACAGGGCAGACAAATGACAGGGAGGAAAAGGCCACCCCGACTGGCTGTCCCCAGCTCCTCAGCCCCCTCCCAACCAGGCAGCTCAGGTCTCCTTCCTAAGGTAGCCCTCTAACTGCAGGGTCAAGACTCCCTGCCTTCGGCTTCGTGGCTAGGTCCCTATCACTACAGGAAGCAAGAAAGTTACGAACCCCAAAAATGCTGAATCACAAAGTGAGGCTGAGCAAGAAAGTGGGGGCGGGGAGGGAGGGAGACGGTGGCCAGGGAGGAAGGGTGTTAAGGGGCTTCCCACCTGGAGCACCCTGGGACGCTGCAGGCAAAGCACAGCCCCTGCAGGAGCCCCCAGGACAAATGGCAGGAGAAGCAACGCCAGGATGCGCCTGGATGGCGGGGTGGGAAGGTGGGCAGGTACCCCGGCTGCAGCCACTGCTACTGCCGCAGGACGCGCGGTGCAGCAGCGGGGTCTTTGCATCCCTCCCGAGAGCAGCACAGGTAGGGAAGTGCTTTGTGCCAAGGCCTGGCAGGAGGGAGAAGCTTAAGGTAGGAGTAGGAGCTCAGAGTCAGGGGTGTAGACAGCCCAAGGAACGGGTGCAGGAAGCAGGGTCAGTCCTGGGGAGCCGGGTAAGGTGGTGAGAGCGTGCCCGCGGGGAGAGGTCGGAGGGGCTGGAAGCAGAATGGGAGGGAGGAACGGTGGAGAAAGGGACCGGAGCGATACAGGGACAGGCAGCGAGAACGAGGGGTGAGCCTTGAGGAGCCACCGGGGGTAGAGATGGGGAGGACCGGGACCAGCAGCGCCCCGGTGGGGCTGCGCAGAGGCCGGGAGAGGGGATGGGAGGAGGATGGAGGGAAGGGGAGGGCGAGGCTGCGGGGACCGGAGCGGGCCGAGATGGGGAAGATGTGCGCCGGGGTGAAGGAGAGGGACGGCGGCCGGGGCAGGGGTCAGGGATGCGAGCTGAAGGGTCGGGCGGGAGGACCGCGAAGGAAAGAGAGGAAGGGGTGGGGGAAGGGAGACGACGGAGAAGGAGGTGAGGAGGCTGAGGAGGAGGTGAGACGGAGGCGGAGGCAGGGACGCAGGGCCGGGGAAGGGAGATGGAGACGGGACCGCGGCGCCTGCCGCAGCGCGAGCCTCGCGGGTGCCCGCTGCCGCTGTCCCGGCGCAGGTCGGTGGAAAGCGCGCCCCGCCGGGGTCTCCCCGGTACTCACCTGGGGGCTCCAGCTCCGGATCCTAAGCCCCACGCCGGATCTTCCTTCCCGCCCTGCCCCTGCGACTTTAGCGCCCCCGAATCCCGCTCGCTCCGGCAGGTTCCGCCAGCAGCATCTTCACCTCGTGGGACGCCCGGGGCCACGCCTCTTCCATCTTCTCATTGGCTGCTGTTCACGCCAGTCACATTATCATTGGTCGAGGGGTCGCCGGACATGCAAATCAGGACGGGCCCGCCGCCGCACCGATTGGCTGGCCCTCGCGAAGCCTAGCCCTCGACTTGGGCTCTGATTGGCTCCGCGGCCCTGACGGCAAAAGTGACCCGAGGCGGGTTCCCGGCCTGAAGTGCGCGGCGCGCGCCGCCTTCCAAGGCTCCTCCCGCGGGTGGCAGCGGACGGGGCGCGCCCCTCGGCCAGTCCTCGGTCCTTAAGGCCTGCGGCTGCGTTGAGCACCGGACGCCGGGCCTTTGGGTCTGTCAAGGGGGGACTCTCTCAAAAGCGTGAGCTCCGTGGCCTCCGGCGTGGCCGCGGCGGGCTGGTCTCCTAGGTAACGCGGCCCGCGGCGGGCGGAACCAAGTGGGCCAACGCCGCGGGGGAGGGTGGACGCGGCCTCGAGGCCTACCGGGCTGCAATGTCGGCCGGAGCCTCGGGGTTCGGCGGTAGGATGATCCGTGCCGTTCTGCGTGGGGGCCCGGTGCCTGGGGTCTGGCGGCGGCGGGCGGCGAGGCCTGTCCCCGCGTCAGTCGTAGGCTTCCCCCCTCGTGGGGACATTTGGTGCGGCCCGGGCCGCCGGCTGCCGTTGGGCTCTGTGGATTCCCCCTCTGCCCCCTGCCCCCTGCCCCCTGCCCCCTGCCCCCTGCCCCCTGCCCCCTGCCCCTGCCCTCTGCCCTCTGCTCCCTGCCCCCTGGCCTCTCTGCAGCTGAAGCAACCGCAGTGCCGCTGCCCTGGTTCTTGGCTCTCCGCGCCCTCGTCTGCGCACATCCTACCCGGCCGGAGCCCGCGGACCCCACCTTCGCCCCCGCTTCCCTGCGGCTGTCCCCGGCTGTGGCTCTGCGGCCCTCGGGCGTGCCCGTGAAGCTCTGTCCCGGGGCCTCCTCGGCCTTCCGCGCCCCCTTCCTGCCCTGGGACCTCCCGGCCGACCGGACCGGAACACGCCACCCGCTCCCGCGTGCCCTTCCCCACGCGTGCAGGCCCCCCCTGCTGCCCGAGATCCCGCGTGTCTGTCTTAGGAAACCGCTGCTTTTCGCCTCCGTGTGTCGCCATGTGTGGCTTTGGTGGACGTCTGTGAAGGAAATCCAGTCCTCTCACGTGTGTGCAGTTGGCAAAAGGAGAGCGTTTCTGATGACGGTGGGCAGCGCGCCCTGGTCCTGACCTAGGGCTCCGTTCGTTGCAGCTCGCCTGTGCAGTTTCCGTAGGTTACTGTCTTTTTTGTGTGTGCTTATTTGTGTCCTTTTCCTATACGTTCTACGGGGTCAGCGAGCTTGTCTGCTGTGTTCAAGATCGTTTCTCCAGGGCTCAGGGTAGGTGCTGGAAGAATGTTCGTGAATGAGGGAATTCCAGGCAGTGCTTAATCAGGCCTCTGCTTCCCCAAAAGCTCCCCAAGGCATCTGGGTCTCAGGCATTACACATTTTCCATTCTGGGAAGGCGGCTTTCCGGACCCTGGCAGCGCCTTCTACCCGCTGCGCTTTCTTTGGGAACTGCTACCTGTGGGACTTAAGCCCCGCCCACCTCTGCACCCTCTAGGTGGGGGGCTGTGTTAGGCTGGTGCCCTTGCCCTGTGTACTGCTGACACACACCTTGTCTTTCTCCCCCGCTGGCTTTCTAGATGCTTGAAGCAGCGCATTTCACAGCCTTCCTATGCACTGGAACACAAGTGCTTGGGAAGCAGTTGCTGAGAGATCTCAGGGAGATTTCACAGCCCTCATTTTGGAGGTTGGAAACAGGCGGGGAGGCTGAGAGTCTGTCCTGAAGTTAAAGAGGAGAGAACTGTTAGCCCTGGGTCCCTGGGTTCCTTTGGTGCTCTTACCTTTTCCCTCTGGGCCTCTCTCGGCCTCCTTGGTTGAGGTAGGGGGAGGTAGTTTTAACAGTTTACAGTATTATAACTATAGTACTATTGTAATAGCTAGTTATGGTAGCTAGCCATGTGACCTTGGATTGGCTGTTTAACCTCTCTGAGTCTCAGTTTTCTCGTTTGTAGGATGGAGATAACGATGATTCTCATTTTGCAGAGTTGTTGGAACAGTAACCATAGAAATGTTTGTGAGTACCTGTCTTGCATGAGGGGCTCAATAAAAATGGGCATATTTTCTTCCTGGAGAGCCCACTGTACTCTTTCCTTGGGTTCAAGACCTGGAGCCCTGTCCATTTCTCTTATTGTTTGTTTGGCCCCAGAGGCCCCGCTGCACTTCCTTCAGGGCATTGGTATTTCATCCTTAAAAGAGTTTTGCTGGCCGGGCTCAGAGGCTCTGCCTGTAATCCCAGCACTTTGGGTGGCCAAGGCGGGCGGATCATGAGGTCAAGAGAACGAGACCATCCTGACCAGCATGGTGAAACCCCATCTCTACTAAAAATACAAATCTTGGCAGGGCGTGGTGGCCTGTGCCTGTAGTCCCAGCTACTCAGGAGGCTGAGGCAGGAGGATCACGTGAACCCGGGAGGCGGAGGTTACAGTGAGCCGAGATAGTGCCACTGCACTCCAGCCTGACGACAGAGTGAGACTCCGTCTCAAAAAGAAAAAACAAAGACTTTTGCTGAAAAGACCCAGCCTGATGACACAGAGCTCACAGTCTCGCAGGAAAATAGCATAGCCCTGGTGAACTGTGCTGGCTCTTCTGTCACCTGCACTGTGTGGGAGCAGCCAGAGGTGGAGATGGGGCTCTGGCTCTGAGGGAGGCAGCATTTGGTTTGACTCCTGCAGGCCAGTGCAGTGGTGGAAAGGAGCGAGGCGCTGGCGGAAGGGCACCTGGAGAGGTTTGCGAGGCGCTGGGAGGGCAGTGAGAGCCGCTGCGGCCCCCTTGGCTCCCACCCCCACAGTTTCAGATGTCACCTCGGCCTCTGTAGCTCCTCTGACTGTGGCTGCCCTGCCTCCACATCGCGAGCCTCAGGACTTCCGTGCGGGTGGCAGGTGCTTTCAGAATGGATGCCCTTCTGCCTAGTGTGTCCCCTGCTGGCACGCTTTCGTGCCCCCTGTGTTCGTGGACTGGTGTGCGCACATCCTTCAGCAGCGTCATCAGGCCAGGTGTGGCACTGAGTCCTGCAGACATCCCGGGAGAGGGCAGGAGGCAGCAGGTCAGAAGCATGAGGAAGTGAGGAGCATGGGCATCCGCATCTGGAGAGACTTCCTCTCTCAAATCCCCACCCGAGGCCATCACAGCCTGCATTTTGTGTGAATACTCTTCTGAATGTTATAAAATGTCAGTGGGAGAGAAAAGCTTGAGGGTAGCCTTGCTAAAGCTTCAGTTTGAACCTGTGACTGGTTACTGAGTTGTGATGGTACCAAGGACACAGGAGGCGACTTCTTTCTTTAAGGACTTGTTCAATGAGCAGATCAACCTGAGACAGGTGACAGATGCTGTGACCAGGGGAAGCACAGGGGCCATGTGATCCTGGGGCCTGGATCTTGGGAGCACCTAGGAGGCCCTCCTGGAGTAGGTGGCTCTTGAGCTGGTATTGGTCAGGCATCTTCTGCTTCTAAGTCACGGGCAGCTATATGATTTCCTGTGGCTTCTGTTGGAAAGCCCCATAGACTTGGTTGCTTAAAGTAGCACAAATTTATTCTTTTCCAGTTTGGGAGGTCAGAAGTCCAAGGTCTGCTCTCCCCGGGTGGCTCCTGGGGCTCTGGGCTGGCGTGGTCTGGGCAGTTGTGGGCACTGGAGGAGAGACAGCCTGGGCTCCAGTCTCCTGGTGAAGACCGCGGGCTCAGTGTGGGTCATGTGTTCTCCTCGAATCAGTCAGTGCAGGCCTTTGGCTGGAACTGGAGAGCAGCCCTCCCCACGCATGGAATTGGGTGAGGGTCCTCCACAAAACAAGGGCAGTTGAGCGCCAAAGATAGTGCACAGAGAACAGAAAGCAGCAAGCCAACTTGTGTGCCTGCTGGATTCACACAGGACCAGACTGACTGGTTTGCTGAAGAGTGCCTGGCTCACAGGCAGCGTCTGGGTGCATTGTGGGTGAAGGCAGGACCCTGGGCCAGGCCCTGGGGTCCGGGGGCGTTCCAGGCTGCCTGGCCACACACGTCAGGAGCGTGGAGGGGTGAACCATTAGGACAACCCTTCTCAAACGCCGTGGTCTGAGACACCTTTACCCAAAGCACTTTTGTTTATGTGAGTTATATCTACCAATGTTTACTGCCGTAGAAGTTAAAACGGAGAAATGTTAAAAATATTAATTTATTTAAAAATGATAAAGCTGTGGCATGTTAAGATAAAAAACATTTTTTTACAAAAACCAACTATATTACCCAAAACAAACAAATGTAAAAGGGTGGGATTCTTTTGCATTTTTGCAAAGATCTTTACAGTCTCCTTAAGAGAAGACAGCTGAAGGCTCCTGTTTGCTTCTGCGTTCGGTCTGTGGCCCTGTGTTGCCTTGGTGTAAGTATGTGAAGGAAATCCATCCCCATCTCGTTAGGGAGGAGTCTCTCGTGTCATTCTTTGGATGTTCTTTGCTGCTGCACTGAAACCCCCTGAGCAGAGTTTTCTTAAAGATTTGTTCTAAAGCGGAGTCTCCACCATATGAGTGAACTCTTCATGGTCTGACATGAAAATCCTTTGGTCTGTCTGTCTTTGGGCGGATGTTTTATTTTTTTTATTTTTATTTTTTCTGACAACTTCATCACATTCTTGGAGTAGGATGTTTTATTCTTGCAGGATTTTGTACCATTACGTATTGTTTGGAAAACAGTGGTTCATGGAGTCATGCAGACCTTCCAACTGTTGATACATTTAATGGTATAACCTTAGACGACCACTTTGTATCCCTGCCCGTCTCATCAGGAAAGTCTTGAAGACGTGTGAAGCTGGTAGGCTCGTGGTGGAGGATACGAATGTTCTCAATTCTAATTTTTGCTTGGGAACTCCATTTTTATTACATTTGTTTTCCCTGAAGTGACATGCTCACTTTGTTCACGTTTGAGAACATGTCTGCCAAGTACCCGTGTTTTGTCTCTCAGTCATTCTTTTTAGCAAAAATGGTGTTGAATAAAAAAAGCAGTGCGTTCAGCTCACAGCCCAGCCGCAGCAAGGCTTCCCTGGGATGACTGTGCCTTCGGTTTGCAGCAGAAGTGCTTGTTGTGTATTTTCCATTTTGTCTCACAGTGTTAAGAAGGCGTGTGCTAAACAGTCAAGATATAATCAGATTAATGGTTTTCCTGGCTTCACCAAGGATGTTGTGACTTGAAGCTGCCTTGTTCTTTTCTGTGAGAAGTTGGGAGGACCTCACTCAACCCAACCAGCCTTGGGTTAAGTGAGGCCCCAGCGACTACCTGCTGCTGCCTCTACTCCAGCACCGCACCAGGGTGAAAGAGATAACATCTGCGTGTCATGAAAATGGTTTTGCCTTGTAGAGCCTCTGACAGGATCCTGCTGAATCTTGGGTTTGGGGACCATACTTAGAGAGCTGCTGTCTTGAAGCCCAAACCCACTGCTTTTTCTCCTTACTCACTATTTTAATTTACAGAATTCAGCCTCTTCCCGAGGTTCAGATCTTTGGATTCTGTGTTGGCTAGAGAAGATTTAGATCCTGGTCTGGCTGGATGGGATCAGATAACATTCAAAATGGGCCAGGTCCCACCAAGAAGCTGCTAACACCTGAAACCTGTCCCCCAATGGCTTTAGCAACAAGAGACTTTGCTCATGTAGCTTGAAGTATCTTGGGGTGACTGGCCCAGGGCTCTGATAATGACATGTGGACCCAGTGGCCCTCCTCTGCTTGTTTTTATGCGTGTCCTAAGGTGGCCCTGGGCAGTTTCAGGCTGACCACCTCTTGGACCAAGGGCTGTGTTCCTTTTCTCACGCTCCCGGAGCCCCTACAAGACGGTCCTACACTGGGGCTCTATTTCAGTGGCCACATGCCCCTGGTGTCCTTGTGTAGTACCTAACCTACACAGCTGAACAAAATGTCCCTTCAGGTCCCCATCCGGAATCAGCTACAGAGGCCAAGAGAGTCATGCTCTGACTCTGGCCCACAGGGGTAGGGATGGGGCAGAGCATTTCTGGAGGTAGATTTTATTTCCCCATTTCATTTTATTTTTGTTTGTCAAAAGGTAATTCACATGGTTCAGAGTTGACATGGATCCACAAGATAAATGAATCATCCCATGGTAACCCCAGGCACCTGTGTATCACACTAGATACAGTGCGTTTTTGTACAATTTTCATAAATTCTAAGCAAATACAACAAATAAATATAGCTACATTAATTTTTCTTTTTTAAAATGCAAATGGTACTTCCTAGGGGAGACAGCATGGGTGGCAGCTGTCCACTCCACTGGTTTGCAGAGTGTGGGTTTGGGGGATGGAGGTTCCTCTGGGATTCAGTGGGAGGCAAAAACCTTCAGGACTGCTGTGACCCCTGTCCTCCTTACAGCTCTTCTCTTTATTTGGCTAGGACTGGTACAGGTCACCCAGGAGGCCCGCGTCACCCTCAGACGGGCAGGATGAACAACTGGCACAGGATTTTCACCCAAAACGTGCTTGTCCCTCCCCACCCACAGAGAGCACGCCAGCCTGTGAAGGAATCCACAGCGTTCCAGTGTGTCCTGAAGTGGCTGGATGGACCGATCATTAGGCAGGTAACAAAATGTGCTGTTATCAAATGCATGTTGCCATTGTTCTTAGCTGAGATGACACTTCCAGTTCACACAGAGATGGTCTCTGCCTTACGATGGTGTGATTTTTGATTTTTCTACTTTATGGTGATACCCACACAGCCATTCTGTTTTTCACTTTCAGTGCCTTTTCTGGTATATTACCAGAGATACTCAACAGTTATTTAAAAATAGGATTCATGTTAGATGACTTTGCCCAATTGTAGGCAAATGCAAGTGTTCTGACCATGTTTGAGCTGGGCTACGCTAAGCTCTGATGTTCAGTGGGTTAGGTGTATTCAGTGCATTTGAACATAGGATATTTTCAGCTTAAAGGGGGTTTATCAGGATGGAGTCCCATCATAGGTCAAAGAGCATCTGCACTGATTTTCACTTACTCACTTGAATCTTACCACTGTACCCATTACCTCGGGCCTTGGCAGTATTTGGAGGCAAAGTGGCTCATCAGCAAAGAGAATCAGTGACATGGTCAGCACTTTTGACACTGGCTAGGGTTTCTTTCTGCCCACAGTGGAGCAATTTAAAAACCCAAGTAATCTGATTTCCTGGGTTATTTCTGAACCAGGTGGCCTTATGCGTGGCTCAGCATGGCCTGCGTTCAGCCTGGCAGTGAGGACTGCAGGGGCTGAGCTCTGGGCATTCTGGTAGCTCTGTGCGTGGCTGGATGTACCATGGCTTTGGGCACTCTCAGGCCTGTGCCCTGATGGCAACACATCCATCTGTGCCCTTCAGCTAGTGGGCAACATGCTGGAGAAGCTGGTGCGTCTGTGCTGCTGCCCACAGGACACTCACACGATTGGATTGTCCTCATGAGGCCCAGTGGCCTGTGGGAATGCATGAGAAGGATCAGTCTTGCCGGTGTCAACTCTTCTTACAGGGTTTGGCTTGGCAAGGCCATTTTCCTCTGCAGCTGGGAGAGTGATATTCACACATATTCAGTTGTTAGAGCCCCGGGTCTGTGACTAATTTACTATTATTAAATCACGGATGCTCTCCATCGTTCAAATCCAAGCCCTCTGACTGAGCACCTGCTGTGTCTTTGCCACTGTGGTAGGTTCTGTGGTAGCTGCTGCTCTTACGGCTTTACTTCCAGCATTTTACTGTGTGAATTCACTTAATCCTCACAGCAGCCCTGTGAAGTTGCCACTACCTTACCCCTATTCTACGGAAGAGCAACAGAACCCACTAGGAGTGGAGTCAGCTGCCCAGGGCAACGGCTTTAGCTAGGACGCCACCCTCCTTGTCTGGCTCAGCTGCCTTCCAGAAGTTCACAGGATAGCACTTCCCTCTTTCCTAGGAATTTTGCAAGGAAACTTTATTTCCCCATTTCATTTTAATTTATGAAAAGGTAATTCACATAGTCCAAAGTGGACAAGGATGCACAGGAGAAGCGAGTCATCCCATGGCAACCCCACGCACCTGGTGTATCACCCTAGGTACAGCGTGCTTTTGTATAACTTTCATAAATTCCAAGCAAATACAAATAAATATACCTATATTGATTTTTCTTTTAAAAATGCAAATGGTACTTCCTGCATTCTATTTTTTTCTCTCTCCTTTTCTTTTCTTTTCCCTCCCTCCCTCCTCCCTCCTCCCTCCTCCCTCCCTTTATTAGATGGGGTCTCACTCTGTCACTCAGGCTGCAGTGCAGTGGCATGATGTCAGCTCATTGTAAACCTCCGCCTCCTGAGCTCAAGAAATTCTCCTTCCTTAGCCTCCCAAGTAGCTGGGACCACAGATGAGCACCACCACGCCCAGTTACATTTTGTATTTTTGGTAGAGATGGCGTTTCACCGTTTCTAGGCTGGTCTCAAACTCCTGAGCTCAGGTGATCTGCCCATCTCAGTCTCCCAAAGTACTGGGATTACAGGTGTGAGCCACTGTGCCTGACTCCGTACCTTGCTTTTCAAAAAATTTCACGCAGGATATCTTATCGATTATTCATGTTATTACATGAAGAAAATTTTCTTATTTCTTAAGGCTGCACAGTATTTCTTTGTATGAATGAGCCATAATTTATTTAGTGAGGCCCATATTTGAGAACATTTAGACTTTTCCCAGTTGTTTGCTGTTACAGATACTGCTACAGTGAATAACCTCATTTTTTTTCATGTACACATATATCTGTAGAATAATTCCTAGAAGTGGAATTCCTGATCCAAAGTCATATGTTAAAAGTTATTTAAAACTCAATTACATGTTGTTTACAAAAAAGTCCACTTTAAGCGTAAAGACATAAACGGGTTGCAAGTAGAAGGGTGGAAAAATACCTACCATGTACATACTAAGCCAAGAAAGCTTTGTGACTATTTCGATGTCAGAAAGAGTAGATTTCAAGGTGAAGAGTATTACCAGAAAGAAAGCATTTCATAAAGGCAGTGATTATCAGGGAAATGTAACAGTCCCTAAAAGTGTATGCTTGTGTTAGGGGCCTCCGAGACCACCTCCCAGGTTTGAAGAGGATCCGGGAGGACTCATATGACTCAGCATATAGTCATACTCTCAGTTAAGATTTACGGCAGCGGAAGGATACAGAGCGAGATCAGCAAAGGGAGGAGGCGTATGGGGGATGTCTGGGGGAAGGGAATACCAGCTTCCAAGAGTCTTCTCTTGGTTGAGTCACACAGGATGCGTTTGATTCCTCCAGCTGTGAACTGTAGCAGCACACGTGCCATGTTGGGTAGCATGTCCAAAACTCCAGACTCTCAGAAGGGAAACGGGTGTTCAGCATAAGCCGCTCTGTACACTTGAGGCGCAGTGTGCCCCTCTTACCAGTTAGGTGGCAGGAGCTCTCCTGAAATCTAAGTTGCCAGACTCCAGCCAAAGGCCAGACTTGTCAGTTGGTCTTTCAAAGCGTAACAGTCAGGTCTGCCATGATAACTCTTGTACAAAAGAACAAAATTGGACAGAACTAAAGGCAACTATGTTTGGATTCAGAATCATGGTTGGAGACTTTTAACTCTTCTCTCAATTATTGAAAAAACAAATATATCAAAAAACTCATGAGGATTTGGAACGTCTGAAGAATGCCGTCAGTCACCGTGACATCTCTTAAACGCTACTCCCAACAAAGCTTGGATACACATTCTTCTCAAGTTTATATGGAACAGTCACCAAAATAGACCTATGCTGGGCCATTAAAATGTGTCAATAAATTTCAAAGGACCCAAATTATAAGGTACGTTTACCAACTACTGTGCTTTAAAGTTAGAAATAAATAACAATACGAGGTCCAGAAAATCCTTAAATAGTAGGAAATTAAAACACCAGATCAGAGAAGAATAGGAAAATTAGTCTATGTGCTGCCGAAGTGAGCGCTTAATAGGGAAATTAGAAAATAATTTGAACTGAGTAATGGAAGAAAACACAAGATTTGTAGGATTTAGCTAGTACAGTTCTTTGATGGAAATGTATAGCCTTACTTAACTATATTAGAAAAGAGGAAGGCAGAAAATCAGTGACCTCTGCCTCTTCTTTAGCAATGTAAAGAAAGGAACAGATTAGATACAAAGTGATTAGAAGAAAAGAGATGGTAAATACAGTTATGCATGGTTGCTTGACAGTGGGGATACATTCAGAAAAATGGCATTGTTAGGTGATTTTGCCATCGTGCAAACATCATGGAAAGTACTTACACAAGCCTCGGTGGCAGAGCCTGCCTCACGCCTGGGTTACATGGTACAGCCTGTTGCTTCTGGGCTGCAAACGTGTGTGGCACGTGACAGTACTGAATACTCTTGGCAATTGTAACACAACGGCATACCAAACATAGAAAATCAGTAAAAATAGAGTATTATAATCTTCAGGGGCTAGTTATATATACAGTCTGTTGCTGACTGAAATGTCATTATGTTACACCTAACCTATATGAGTAGAAATCAGTAAAGGACAAATAATAGAGAAAATCAGTAAAGCTAGAAGTTGATTCTTTGAAAAGATTGATAAAATTGATCAAGACAAAAAAAAAACCAGACTACCAATATTAAAATGAAGCAAGCATCACTATAATGTATGCTATAGATGTTAAAAATAAAATGTTGAATTTCATCAGCTACTAAAGAAGAAATCAGATGAATTCTAGACAGACTCTTTCAGAAAATAGAGCAGGAGGGAACACTTCCCAGCTCATTTTTTGAGGCCACCATAATTCTGATTCCCAGTCAAGGGCACTGCAGCAGAAGTACGGACTGGTATCCCTTGTGGATGTTAACACAACAGCCCTTAAAATATCAGGACCGTAAAACCAGCACTGTGTGTAAACTCTGGGGTGTGAGGATCAAGCGGGGCTTACTGCAGGGACACAGTGTTGGCTTTATGTACAAAGATCAGTCAAAATACAGCATTTAAAAAAATAAACAGAATTTATGTAAGTTCTATAAATAGAATTTGGAAATAGATGATAAAAAGTTTTGGTATAGATAGTCTATGTTTGTCCAATTTTAGTTGCTTTGAGAATTGATAGCTTTAGATAATGGCTGCAGCTTTCTTCCCTGTGAAAGGTGTTGGCTGAAGAATGTTACATGCTTGCTTTGAATTTATTAATGATTTTAGTATATTTCTCTTACTGTCCCATTTACTTTTTTGGTTTAATTTTTATCATGATCACTGATTATATTTCTTTATTTTGGGATGAGTATTTCAATTCAGTTTGACATTTATTGGGCACCGAGACATGTTTGGAACTGTGCAGAGGACGCAGAGTGGACTCTGCCCCATGCTGTGTCTTCAGGGAGCTCTCAGTGGATTCTTCTTTGCATAGACTTGGGTGTGAAGTAGGCTAGAGGTGGCGGGAGGGTGGTTAGGGTCTGGCATTCTGAAAAGAAGCCCAAGCTGGTGACAGATCTGGGAGCCACGGGATCCTGCCTGATGATGGCCTCCTGAGAGAGTGCAGGAGAGGGGGAGGAGGGGGCTCTGGGGGAGCCCGGGCAGGCCAGGTGAGGAGGGGCATGCGCTGAGGCCTTGCCTGGGCCCCAGGGACAGAGCAGGGAACAGACTGTGCCAGGCTCACATCCTCACAGAGTTCACATGCTAGATGGGACGGCAGACGGTCAACATGGAAAAGCTGGGTGATTGCTCTGGGGAGAGATGAGGAGGCTCGGAGCTGGGGTCTGATGGAGGAGGAACTGAGGAGGAGGAGGGACAGGGGAAGAGGGATGAGGGACGGGAAGGCTGCGCGGTGATGGAGCTGGGCTTGGAGTCCTCAGGCCTGCTCTGCCTGCCTTCCCCATTCCCATGGACACCACCACCTCCCTCCAGGTCACTTCACTTGAGACGCGGGACTCAGTGCTGGACCTGGGAGGGCTGGGCCGACCTAGTCAGCTGGTCCTTCCCGCTTCTCCCTTCATGACCACGCAGCCGCTCCAGAGCCCAGGTGTGCCCACTTCCTGTCGCCCTCCCTGCCCCTCTCTCTGCCTGGATGGTGGCGGCAGCCTCCTGACCAGCCCCTGCATCCACTCCCTCCCCCGCAGTCTCACAGGCGCATGGCAGCTGCAGGAATTTTCTTAAATCCTGAATCAGATTGTGTCATTTCTGCTAGATATCTCCCTGGCCTCTTTGCACGTTTGGAGTGAAAGCCCAGCTGCTTCTCGCACTGTGAGGCCTGCCTGAAGCCTCCTGTGCCCGGAGCTCATTCCTCCTCTCTTCCCCGGCCCAGCCTGCTGCAGTCCAGCGGGCTTTCTGCTTAGAATGTACCTGGCATTGGTTTCCATTCAGGGGTGGTGAGGCCAGCGGATCAGGAGATGACTACTGCTGAGACCCTCTCGGTGACTCAGGGCTTCCCGGAGGAGGGCCAGGCCGTGTCGCATAGACCACCTGGGGGATGGTCAGGAGGCAGGAGGGTAGGAGGGAGGCGTGGGCAGAGACCTGATTGTGGGAAGACTGGGCCAGGTACCGCGAGCAGCCGGGCAGGGTGAGCAGCCAGACAGGCTTGGCGGTGGCCAGGGAGAGTCATGTCATGGTCTCTGAGGTGCAGGGATGGCCCCGAGGTATCTGGTCACTGACTCTGGAAGATCAGGGCAAAGGATGGGACTCCTGGAGTGTGTGGGCTCTGGACTGGTTGGTTTTCACATTAGACACGTTCTGGCAGGCGTGCCATTTGCCACCCTCGGAATTAGCTGGCTCTAGGGGACAGTCTCTCTCATCACTGAGACCCCAGATGGCAGAGCATCAGCAATACAGAAGATTAGAAAATTCAGGCTGGGTGCGGTGGCTCAGCCCTGTAATCCAGCACTTTGGGAGGCCGCGGTGGGTGGGTCACTTGTGGTCAGGAGATGGAGACCAGCCTGGCAAAACCCCCTCTACAGAAAGTACAAAAATTAGTTGGGTGTGGTGGAGTGCACCTGTGGTCCCAGCTACTTGAGAGGATGAGGCAGGAGGATCGCTTGAGCCTGGGATGGGGAGGTTGCAGTGGCTAGACCTTCAGTCTGGGCGACAGAGTGAGTCTCTTTTCTTAAAAAAGCAAACAGTTACTATAGCTAAATATAGTTCTGCACTTCTCGCTGGCTCCCGGAGCACCTGTGGTTTCCTGTCAGGACCTTTGAGTTTGCTGCTCCTCTTGCCTGGCTCCTCTCCCCAGACCCGCTGTGGTTCTTCTTATGCTCAAGGGTCATCTCAGAGAGCCTGCCCCACCCTGCCCACCTGTCTCCCTACTCTCCATGTCAGCCCTGTCAGGGCAGAGATTTGGTCTGTTCTGTTCCCTGTTCTTTCCTTACTGCCTGGAAGTGTGCCTGGCAGAGAGTCAATGTGCAGAATAGGTGCGTAAGTAATGTTTGCTAAGTGAATGGGTGAAAGGCAGAGGACTCTGTCTCGGGTAGGAACCTGTCACGGAAGAGCAAAGCCTAAGGCAGCACTTGCTGGGCGTGGTAAAGTCCCGGGGCGGAGTCCTGTCTCTGCTCTGGCTGCCTTGTTCTGTATTTGTAGCCATGATTTCTCAATTCTCGAAGGTCTGCTTTTTCCTTTGCTAATATCACCCCAAAATCTGGCAAGTTGGGGATTTAGAGTTCCTGGTTATATCAGGAAGGGCTCATTTTGTTGCAGATGATTAAAAAACCCATCCAAAATGATTTAAGTCACAGGTGATTTGTTAACTCACACAACAAATCCACAGCCAGCATAAGCTTCAGGTGTGGTTTGAGCCAGGTCTCCGGTGATGTCTCCTGGACTTGTTCTCTCTCACCTCTTGGCTGCTGGCCACCCTGGGCCTCATCCTGGCGGCACGTGTGTCTCCTGTGGTCATTGCCTCTTGTGTGTCCTGGGCTCTGGCTGAGTCAGAAGCCTACGTCTGTTCCAAGGGACTGCAGTGTCTCATTGGCCAGGGGAGGCTGAGTGCTTTGGTTTATAACCCCACCAAGACCAGTGGCTGTGGGAGAGAGGTAGCCCCTCGAGAAGGACACTGGGTGCTGATACCTAAGCAAGGGTGAATGCCGAGTGGCCCGTGTGCACGCGCATGGCCTGCAGACTGCCCGGCTCGTGGTGCCGAGACCCTTCAGGGCCATTTCCCCCTTGTCTCCTAGGGTGTGCTGGAGGTGCTGTCAGAGGTTGAATGCCATCTGCGAGTGTCTTTCTTTGATGTCACTTACCGGCACTTCTTCGGGAGGACGTGGAAAACCACAGTGAAGCCGACAAAGAGACCGCCGTCCAGGATCATCTTCAATGAGGTGGGCCTTGGTGACTGCGGCAGGGGCCGCTCCAAGACAGAGGGTGGGTGTGTGTGGGGTCCCGAGTGTCAGCCGAGATTGGGCCTTGCACAGACCTCACAGTGTGTCTCAGACCCTGCGGCCCCAGGCAGCACAGAGCTCAGCCTAGCGGCAGGCACTTGGCTTCCAAACACGGTCTTAGGTGGAAGCCAGTTGTCCTAAACAAGTGAGAGAGCTCTGCTCTGCTATAGTTGAAGGGTCAGAGGCATGGGGGTTTTGTCACCTTCAAAGACCCTTGGAGTTCTTGGGAATAAGTTGATAAATTATTGACCTCATCTGTCCCTCCTGCCACTGCTGCTCCCTTGCTGTCGCCTTCCCTGCCCGTCCCTTGCCTCATCCCCTCCCCTTGCCCTACCCCCTTTCCCTTGCCCTGCCCCCTCCCGTCCCCTCCCTCCTTCCCTGCCTTTCTCTCTTTCCTCCCTTTTGTATAGGGAAATTAGGATTTAGTAACGTGACTTGCCCAGGTAGCAGTTGTCAGAACCTGGACTCACAGCTGTGCTTTCTGTCTTGAGACCAGCAGGTGGGTGGGCACTGGTGGAGTGGCGTGTTTCCATTCAGGTGGTCTTGCAACTGGCCACCCTATGGGCCGGCGTGCTCTGTCTCTGCCGTTGTACTGCACAGTGTGCATTCCATTCAGCGCCCGCTCTCTGCAGGCTGCTGTGCTAGGCTCAGGGTGATGATGGTGCTCACCTGTCAACTGCAGACTGCTGGGGAGACACACCGAACAGTAACAGAGCAATTGCAAGTTGTGTTAAGTTCTCAGGAGGAGCCCAACAGGAGAGCATGGAGACCTGCTTTAGGTGGGTGACAAGGAAGGCCTCTCTGCGGAGCTGCCCTTTAAGCTGGGACCTGCGGGACGAGAAAGCAGCTGGCTCCGTAATGAGCAGGGACAAGGCTGCTTCGAGCAGAGCGGGGAGAGCTGGGGGTGTCAGGGGAGAGGGGAGAGCCCAGGTGCGCAGTGAGTGGGGTTGCGGGTGGTCCCTGGTACCTTCTGACTGGGTCCTGTGGGGTCTTAGGGATGCTGGTGTTCTACTCTTAAGAGCCGGGGGTGTCCTGGAGGTCATTCCCATGCTGCTGCTGCACAGCTGAACTAAGTGGGTGGAGTTTGAGAGGGATGGTGTCTGAGCATGACAGGTGTGCAACAGGGACAGTGTGGGGACCAGAGGTGATGAGCAGGTCTAGGCTCTGGTTTGGTCTCTCTCAGGTGGGGACAGTGTAGAGACGACAGCAGTGATGAGAGGGTCTAGGCTGTGTTGGTTTGATCTCTCTCAGGTGGGGACCAGGAGTGATGAGGGTCCAGGCTTTGGTTTGATCTCTCTCAGGTGTATAGAAGGAGACCCAAGAGGCCTGGTGTTGTGACAGTTTGTACGATGAGTAACAGTGGCCATCCTTTGAGCCGTTACTGTAGATAACCTCTGCCCAGGCGCCTGCTCTAGCGAGTCAGCACTCCCGCCTCAGGCCGCAAACTCGCTGCTCTCCGTACCCGACCATCACCCAGCGCTTGGATTGTGTGTGTCTTGACGTGGGTGGATACTGACTCTTGCCCTTCATCCCATGGGTAGTAGAGGGAGAGAATGACCCTAGAGGTCAGGAAGCTTCACTAAAAAGCCTTGCTAGAGTGTATGTCATGACAGCCAAAGATGTGTCTGACATTAAGGTTGTCAAACAGCTTATGCAAATACCTCTTAGAGGTCTCTCTGGCCAGCTGTGTCAGAAAAGATTTCATGTGTGAATCACATGTGGACTGCGGGTGAACTCTTAGAGTGCTGTTTCATTGTGGGCAGGGAGTGCCCTCGTTCCTGCGCTGTGGTGGGAGGCTTGCTGAGTTCCTAGTGGTGGCGGTGCTGGGCCAACTGCTGGGTTGGGGCTGTTTAGCTTTATCTTCTTCCGGTGTGCAGTGAGGCCCCAGAAACCTGTCGTTGTGACAGTGTGTGGCCGGTGGTGAAGGTAGCTGTCCTTTACTGGGAGGCTCTTTCTGCGGCCAGGCATTGGCTCAGAAGCACGCTGTCATTTCATGCCTGTCATCCTCCTGCGGGGGTCAGTATCCTGTGTACCCATTTTAAAGAGGACGCTGAGGGCATGGAGATGGAATCACTCCACCAGCCTGTGCACAGGCGGCGGCGGCGGGAGTGGCCCCGTGCGTCTGACGGCACCACCTGCTGCTGCCTCTGTGACCTCCTGCTTCTGAGGAGCCCTGCATTTGTTCTGAAGTGTTCCGTAGAATTATGAGGGATGCAGTGTGCTCTGAAACCAGCACAGGGATGCTTGGCAGTCACTGAGGTGCTAGGGCGCGTTCCTCCTCCTCCCTCACCCCCTCTGACTTCAGCTCTCGGTTGAGAGAGGCTTCGGACCTTCCTAAGGACCGGCGCTGCCATGACGACCCCAGCAGGTCACAGGCTTCGGGCTGGATGCCGGGGCCTTCCACCTCCCACATCCCTGGGCTGTCTCATCCTGATCCCTGTAGAACTCCAGCTGTACGGTGGGACAGTCTTCAGAGTGGCTGCTTCTTTCTGCCTGTCTCGGGATGGCAGTCGTGTACCCTGCGGGCTTCTGTTTCAGGGAAGTTGGGCAGCACGTGCATTCGCCACATCCTGGTAGCCGCATGTCATGCTGCCTGTGCAGGTCACAATTCAGATGTGTGAGGGGGACGAGGAGCTGGTGGCTTTTCGGAGTCTGGAATACCTGTGCTGGTGGTGCCAAGGGCAGCCAACTTGGGAGCCACGCTGCTCAGCCTTGGCCTGTCATCTGGGCGTCTTGTGTTGAGGCTGGGGACAGGCCCGGGGCTAGTGGAACACAGCCCTTAAAGTTTCCAGGAAAATTCGCACTCTTGGACTTAGAGTCGCTGAAGTAGGGAATGCAGCAGGGACAGTGTGGGGTGGCCAGGGCACTTGTAGCTGTGAGGGTGATGCTGAAGCCCCCTGCTGCTCAGGGAGCCTGCCGTCTGTAGCTGCTGTGCTCCATGCAGGCAGCAGAGGCCAGTGGTGCCCCAGGAATGGATCCCTTCTGCCAGGCTGTCGAGTAGTGTGTTCTGTGCCAGGCAGCTTCCTCTATCTCCTTGACATTCTCATACAGAAAAAAGGTTTCGTTCCAGTGTAGTTAACTAGTTAACTTAGTTAACTAAAGAGAATTCCCCTTCACTGAGTATGTGTGCAAACGTGTGTGCGCATCCAGGTACCTGTGTATCTGCTGCAAGTGTGGGTGAAGTGTAGCATGCTTCAGGGGTGGGCATTCCCAGGCGTGAGGGTGTGGCGGCATGCTCGTACCCTGTCCGCTATTTGCTTTGTCTACGCCCCGTGGAAATAGAGGTTCATAAAACCCTCTGCCCTTTTCAGGGGTGATTCTGAGACTTAGCAAAAGTGTTTCTCTGGTTTTCCTAATTGCCTGTGTTTTTCTGATCTTTGCCTATCGGCAGTGGTTCCGGGGGATCTGCTTTGGGGTTGGTGAGCTGCCAGTAGCAGGGGACGGGGCACCCATGGCTGGCCAGCCCCACGTGGTAACGCAGGGAACCTGCATGCTCGGGGTTTTTCGGAGTGCCCGTGTCACACATGGCCCCGAGAGAAAGGCCTGTGAGAGGACTTCTCAGACAGCCATGTCCTGAAGAAGGGCTTGGAACTCAGAAGTCTCGTCTGGATCCAGAGCTCGGTGCTTTTTTCTGCAAATGATGAATATTCCAACTGGGTCCATATGCCGGAGAGTGGTCCCTGGACTCCTCAGCCCTGAGCTCAGAATTCCGTGTTCTCTGAGACCTTCCCTGGTGGAGAAGAATTGCCTTTCACTTCCTCTGAGCCAGCTAATCATTCGTTCAACTTCTAAAAAAGTGTCTTTTAAAAAATAATCCTGGAGGCCACAATCCTGTGCAGTTTTTCAGTTTTCCTTTTGAGGTGGACATATTTTCCCTTGGATTCTTTCCTTAGTAATTTGACCAGCATTGGGTGACACGCTTCTTTTCCCTCATTTATTTATTTGAGGGGAGTTACTGGGCAGGAATCCTGGTGGTTCTCCAGCAACAGCCTAAACCCCCAGCAGGGGAATCTTTTCTCCCAGAGCGCACCAGCCCTGATGTCGCCAAAGCGGCGGGGCAGTCACCTGCCCTGGCAGAGGGACGCAGGTAATCGAGTTGCGCCCCTTCCCACCATCACAGCCGTGAGAAAGCCCCTTTTGAGCGGCCTTTACTCATCAGAGCAATGAGCGTGCTGTAATTGCCCGTCGAAAAGCGGATGCTGTCAAGGAGTATCGGCATAACCCATGTGCAGCTCCTTTGAGCCCTTCCAGTGCCTGGACTCTTCGGCCTGCGTCTGGAGCTGGCCGGTAGCCCTGGCTGTGGAGCGCGGCTGCGGCTCCTGCGCACTCGCTGTTGCCCAGCAGGGTCTGGGCACGTCCTGAGCATCACCACAACAAGAGCAAGAAGCCAGCTTCGTGTCCCAGCGAGCTGCTTCCACAGAGGGAGGCTCCGTGGCTCTGGGAGGCCAGCTTTGGCCCCGTGTGCCCGTCTGTCTGCAGCTGGGGAGGGCTGATTTCCTCTCGGGCACAATGGAAAGCACCGCCGTGGCCGTGGTCTTGGAACCTGAGATGAGGGGATGAAAGACCGTGGCTTTTAGAAGGAGAATGCTGTCTCTGTGATGTTTCCGGTGTTTAATTGTACAGTGATTGAACTGTCGGTCATTTGGGGACAATGGAAAGCTATGTTTGTCAGTTTTGTTGTTTCGTGTTCATAGCAGCATAGTGTGGGATCTTTTTTTTTTAAGAGATGGGTGTCTCTATGTTGCCCAGGCCGGAGTGCAATGGTACGATCATAGCTGATTGTACCCTTGGACTCCTGGGTTCAAGTGATCCTCCCTCCTCAGCCTCCTAAGTAGCTGGGACTACAGGCATGCACCGCCATACCCAGCTAAATTTTTTTATTTTGATAGATACGGGGCTGGATATTTCTTGCTTTGGGTTGTAATCGTCTTTGCCCACTTTTCTAAGTAAGCCAAGGAGTCGCTGTTTAGGCCAGAGGGAGGACTGGCTTTTGCCATGGGCGTTGGATTTGAGGAAGGATGGGCATAGGCTGACGTCCTGCTCCATCACTGATCCCTGTGGGACTTGAGGCAAGTGATTTAAATTCCTTGATTTTAGGGAGTGAGGGATAAAAGACTACGAATTGGGGCCGGGCGCAGTGGCTCACGCATGTAATGCTGGCACTTTGGGGGGACAAGGCGGGTGGATCACTTGAGGTCAGGAGTTCGAGACCACTCTGGCCAACATGGTGAAACCCTGTCTCTACTAAAAATATGAAAATTAGCTGGGTATGGTGGTACACACCTGTAATCCCAGCTACTCAGGAGGCTGAGGCGAGAGAATCACTTGAGCTCAGGGAGTGGAGGTTGCAGTGAGCTGAGATTCATGCCGTGGCACTCCAGCCTGGGTGATAGAGCAAGACTCTGTCTTTTTTTTTAAAAAAAAAATTGAGTTCAGTGTATCCTGCTCAGGTGATGGGTGCGCCAAAATCTCACAGATCACCACTGAAGAATTTCCTCATGTAACCAAATGCCACCTGTTCACCAAAAAAACCGGTGGGAAAAAAAAGAAATTAAATTAATCTGTAAGAAAAAAAGAAACCCCTTGATCCTGACTACATTCATCTTTGCTTGAGAGATAACAGTTTGTATCTCCCAAGTGCTGCCGGAGGCCGGAGTATTAAGTTGTGCTTTTCCGTAAGCAGGGAGCTGGTGGGCAGTAGTATTCATTCAACAAACGTTGGGTAAGTGCCTTCTGCATGCCAGGCTGTGTTTAGGAGTTAGGCATACAGAGATAAGGTGGTGTCCTATCCTTTCAGCCAGGATTAAAGTTTACATTTTTACTCCAAATGAGAGTGTCTCGACCTTGGCACTGCTGTCATTATGGTCTAGGTAATTTGTGGGGCAGGGGGCTGTCCCTGTCATGATGGAGAATAGTGGGCATCCTCGATCCTTGCCATCTTTGAAGTGTAGTGGCTGGAAAGCTGTCCGAACCCGCAGTGTGAGTCTGAGTCGGTAGGAACTGCATGAAGTCTCTGGATTATTTGCCTGACTGAAACTATCCTGCTAAAGGCTTATTGAAACACTTCTTTGGAAGGGACTCACTCTGCTTCTGCTCAGCTCCTCTCTGGCCTTGCTGCCCAGTGTCGTCTGAGGAGTACCTGTCATGTAGGTGCCAGGTTGTTTGGCTGTGCCGCGGGGGTGCCCGGCTGCAGCCTCTTCATCCAGACACATTGAGGAAGGAGACCCAGGCATCTGGGATTCCCTCCCCCTCTGTCATCCACTGTGCAGCTCAATAGAAGAGAGAGCAGGCCAGCTGGCGCCTCCTGAATCTCCTTCCTGAAAATAACATGGGGAAACTATCTGGAAGACACTGTTTTTACTTAAAACAAGATCAAACCAGAGACCTTTTCACATGTGAGTCCTAAAACTGTAAACCGGAACCCTATCATATGTGATTCCTACAGCTATAAACCTAAGATTCTTCCACGTGTAACATCTGAAGTATAAGTCTATATAAAGGCAGAACCTTCCTTTGTTAGATAAGCTGGGCTTTTGACAAATTACTGCCTGGTCTCCTGGCGGAAGAAACTCTTCCTTCCGTTATTCGGTGTTTGAGAGATCCGTTTCCCGCTGCTGCTCCTGCTACAACATCAGCAGAGGCCCAATTCCACTTCTGTTACCCCGGGTGAAAAATGGAAACTTGGTCCCGAGGCAAAATGGTGTCCATGTTTTTGAAGATGAAGGCATGAAGACAGGCGCATTTAAATGATTTATTAATCTGTTTATGCTGTCAGGGAGGAAACTTGTCCAGTGCAGATCCATGAGCTGTGATGCGGGGGTAACGGAGAGCCCATCTCTTTTGTCTCAAGTGGCTTTTCCCTGCAGGCGATTCGATGGACTTGACTTAACCTTTTAATCCTGCAGTTTCGGTTGATGCTGAGAATGTTCCTCTCGAAACGTACGGCAGTGGCGTTGCTTGGGTTTCCTCAGACCGAAGGGCTCGCGTGCAGGCATTCCTCAGCTGCGTGCCGCCTGGCTCAGTGGGGCGGGCATTGGGTGGTTAGACGTGACTTTGCCAGGACGACTGGAGGAGCGCAGCCGTGCGGCTCTGTCGCTTGCGGTTTTCTGCCTGCCTCATCTGGCCTTTATGAAGCCTTCGAGGCTTGGGCTTCTTGAAAGCTGACTTGCGTTTTCCAGGTTCCTTGTAAATTCTTTAGCTTGGGGCTGTTCCCACACTGGAGGGTCAATATGATTTTTGGAAAAGAGCCTGTGTCCTTATCAATCAGTAATGGTACTGGTGCTACCATCTGAACTCTTAAAACATGCACTCGGTGTGCCTGACTCTTCTGATTAAAGGTGGATTCTTTAGACTCTAAGGTTGGATCAGCTGAGATGAGCAGCTCTCGGGCTCTGGTGCTGTTGTTGTTTTTGGCCTCACTAACATTGTTAGTCGTAAACAGAAGGGAGAGGCATCGCCATGAACTTGTACTTGGGACATGCCTGTAGCCACGGGTTCCACCAGGTTCAGGTAGAGTGATTTCAGGGTGACCTCTAGGCTGGCAGATTGTTGTTGCTCTGCCTCAGAGTTGAAAACGTTATTTTATTGCCACTAAAAAAAGTGAGTAGTGTTCGTCAGACTGATAGGCACAGGTATAAATAGAAAAGGTGAGATAATGACCAGCTCGACTTTGCAGTGGGGCTTTTTAAAAACAGTTCTTGAGTCTTGGAAACAAACATAATTCTCTCTCAGTCCAACCACCTGTCAGCTGTAAGTGGTCATTATTTCATCATATTGCAATAAAAGATAATAGAATAACGATTTATATCTCATGGCTGATGTTTTAATGCGTCTCTCTGTTATCCTGGGCTGACAGTCTGTGATTACAGTAAACGTTTTCTCGGTGACACCATGGTAATGACTCGTTAATAGGAGTATTATTCCAAGATTAAGTCATAGAGTGAAAGACCAGCCTCAGCCCTCCTTACCTCTCTCTGCCTTGGTGGGGGTGGTCTCTGTGCTCAGTTGGTGACCCGTGCTTTGTCCCCCAGCTAGGGTGTTGGGGTATGGGCGCAGCACCACTCCTGATGCCTGGGGATGCACATTCCCTGTTGATTAGCAAACCCAGCCAGTGACTCCATCTCTGTCTTCTGTGCTTACGGCATTCCTTCATGTGTTTTTTTTTGTTTGTTTGTTTTTTAGACAAAGTTGCATTCTGTTGCCCAGGCTGGAGTACAGTGATGTGATCTCAGCTTACTGCAACCTCCACTTCCTGGGCTCAAGTGATCTTCCTGTCTCAGCCTTCTAAGTAGTTGGGACCACAGGTGTGTGCCACCATGCCTGCCTAATTTTTGTATTTTTGGTAGAAATGGTTTTTTGCTATGTTGCCCAGGCTGGTCCTGAACTCCTGAGCTCAAGTGATCCACCTGCCTTGACCTCCCAAAAGTGCTGTGATTATAGGTGTGAGCCACCGCCCTAGCCCCCTTAATTTTAAATAAAAATAACAGCACTGAATTTAATGCAATAGAAAAGCAGAGCAAAGGTGCATTCATTCCCAAGTGGGAGCGTCCGTATGAGGTTCAGAAAGGGGTTGAGTCTCCTGTGCTGTCTTCCCAGGCCCCTCCCTGGGCCTGGCAGGAAGGCAGAGGCTGGCCATTTGGGTGTTGCAGATGGGAAGGTGTGACTGGAAAACCTTTTAAGATCAATTTGAATATCATCTACTTGGCTTAGATCTTGAGAAATCTTTTAATAAAATGATCTCAAGGTGATTTTCAGCATAAAAAGACTTCAGACTTTTGGGCTGTGAACTGGGGATAATTACTTAGCACCTAAAGAAATCCAAGGATTCTTCTTGTTAATAGTCTAAGTATAATTAGTTCAGATGGAACTCAAAATGGTTACACGTGAAGCAGGGATCCAGTCAGCCCCAGCCAGGTATGATTGAAGGTGTTCTGTGTTGAGCGTCGGGTGATGCTTGGAGTGTGAATTGATCAGCACGTGTGTGTGTTTGTAGGGGTGGACGCGTTGTCTTGGCCTGGTCTAACCGTGGTCCTACCTGATGTCCCTCCGCAGTGTGGGGTGCATAGCCGCTTTAGCACCTTACTGCTTTAGTGGGCCCGAGGTCTGTTGGTGTTTCTGGTGGTGGAATTCCCAGGGGATGGAAGGTTCTGGAGCGGAAGCAGATGTCCTGGATGTTGGGCGCTCTGGAGTCAAGAGCTCCGACACCAGTTTTTGAGTCCGAGGGAGTTACCTCAGTGTGCCTGCTTCCTTGGTATCCTGCAGAGATGTGGTGCCCCACACGTGCGCATGTTAGAGGGTTCCGGGTGCTGTGGCATGTGTAGGAAGGTGGTCTTGAGGATGGGGACGGCGCCTGTGTCTTGAGCACTCAGACCGTCCTCTGGCTTCTATTCTGCAGCCCTTGTATTTTCACACATCCTTAAACCACCCTCATATCGTGGCTGTGGTCGAAGTGGTTGCTGAGGGCAAGAAACCGGATGGGACCCTCCAGACGTTGTCCTGTGGGTTTGGAATCCTTCAGATCTTCAGCAAGCAGCCGGAATCTCCTACCTCTGCTTCCCAGGACAAACGGTACCTACCTTGTTTCTACAACCGTGGGGTTTGCCAATGTCTTTCTTTTTTTTTATTTCTTTTGAGATGGAGTCTCACTCTCTCAGCCAGGCCAGTGTGCAGTGGTGTGATCTCGGCTCACTGCAACCTCCGCCTCCCGGGTTTGAGTGATTCTCTTGCCTCAGCTTCCCAAGTAGCTGGGACTACAGGCGCATGCCACTACAGCCTGGCTAATTTTGTATTTTTAGTAGAGACAGGGTTTCACCATGTTGGCCAGGCTGGTCTTGAACTCCAGACCTTGCTGATGCACCTGCCACCACCTGTGACTAAGTTCTGTATTTTTAGTAGAGATGGGATTTTGTGCCTGGCTGCATTCCAGTGTCTATGGTGGTTTAACTGGGCGTCTCATGGTGGCAGTGAAAGCCTTACATTTATCATCTAAAGTTTTATGTCCATAATAGTATAGTGTTGGATGTTTCTGGCTTGGGGGTTTGCCTTTTTTTTTTTTTCTGCTTTTTTTTGAGGTGGGGTCTCGCTCTGTCATGCAGGCTGCTGTACAGTGGTACATTTTGGGTCACTGCAATGTCTGCTTCCAGGCTCAAGTGATTCTCATGTGTTAGCCGCCTGAGTAGCAGAGGTTACAGGCGTGCACCATCACACCTGGGTGATGTTTGTATTTTTAGTAGAGACGGGGTCTCCTGTGTTGCCCAGACTGGTCTTGAACTCCTGGGCTTAAGAGATCTGTTCGCCTCAGCCACCCAAAGTGTTGGGATTACAGACGTGAGCCACTGCGTCTGGCTGCGTTTGCCATTTCTAAGTGAGTTAAGGAATTATTTTTTAGGCAGGAGTAAGGGCTGGCTTTGGCCACGAGCGGTGTATTTGAGGTAGGATGGATATGCGCCAAAGTCCTGCTCCAGCGCTGATTCCCTGTGGGACTTCAGGCAAGTGATTTGTATTCTTGGAGCCTGAAGGCATTCACCTGTACATGAGGGATAATAACAACGTGTATGTCGTAAGTTCTGCTTGAATATTGAGTGGTGTGTTTTTCACAGGCGCTGGTGGTTAGCAGGTGTTCGTTCAGCACACACTGGCTGAGCGTCTGCTACATGCCAGGCTCTGTGTAGGGGCCGGACATATGGGTGGGTAGGCTGGCACGTCATCCCTTCAGCCAGGGTTAAAGCCTACGTGTTTACTTTGAATCAGGGTTTCCCTAGCTTGGCACCACTGACTTTCCAGTGGAGAATTCTTTGCTGTGGTGGGGCTGTTCTCTGTGCTGTAGGATGTTTAGCAGCATCCCTGGCAATCTACTAGATGCCAGAGGCACCCCCTCCCTGCCCCAGTTGTGACGAAGGAGAAAAATATCTCCAGCCATTGCCAAACGTGCCCTAGTGGGCAGAGTCATCCCTGGTTGAGAACCACCGCTCCAGATCCACAGCAATGGAAATTCCTCAGATGTGTCTTTCTTGAGACATTTTAGAGTTTTATAAATTTCCATGAATGGTGTTTTCCAGCTCCTCGGTTCTCAGGCTGTCTTGGGTCGGTGCTGTGTGTGTGCTGGACGTGCTTGGCCGTCAGCACCGAGGGCTTGGGGAGCTGCTGCTGGCCTTAGCTGGTGGCGTTTAGAAAGCTCTGGTGGGCATGCTGGTGGCCAAGGTTTCCATGTGCTCTCTTTCTGAGAAGTGCACACGTGGCTGATGAGTATTCTTTGGGTCCTGTCTTCCAGGTTGCGGCTGTACCATGGCACCCCCAGAGCCCTCCTGCACCCGCTTCTCCAGGACCCCGCAGAGCGTAAGAGCCAGGCCTGTCCTTGGCAGCACTCGCTGCTCTCCCGCCTTCCCTGAGTGTTCCCCACCCTTAGCTCTGAATGGGATCTTTCTCAGTGTAACCGCTGTCCACTTAGCTAATTTATCTAAGAGGTTTCGGCAAATGTTTTGTGGCCTTGGACTTTTGGCAGAAAGTAAAGAACTGAAACACAGCAGCCCTGAGGGAGGGCATTGCTTTGTGGGGATGGCATGGGAGGGCCTGTGAGAGCCGCCTGGAGGGAGGGGAGCAGCTCTGCTTACCAGATGAAGGAGTAGTAGCTTTCTGTCACCAGCCACTGGCTCTAAACCTCTGACCGCACAGCCATCGGTTATCCCCAGCATGGCAAGGCCCTGTGGCTGAGAGGCCGCCTTAGAGCAGGGTAGGGGTCGGGTGGAGTGTCCTGCTGTTCCTCTCTGATCAGCCGTTCCCAGGCAGCAGAGGGAACCAGTAGGAGGGAAGGGGATGACGGTCTGCTCTGCTGCTGCCTGCCTGGAGGATGACAGGAGGGGTGTGTGGTGGGAGGGTTGGGAGTGGGCTAGAAGGACGTCAGGGAGGCTCAGAGCACAGAGGCTGTGCTTGCCCAGCAGTTGGGGGAGTGTTCGGGTAGGGGGAAGAGTGGCTGGAGGTAGATCTGTTGGGGAGGGTGACTTTCTGTCTCTTTGAAGTGAGGTGCTGCCTAGATTCCTTGAAGGGGATGTTGTGTGTGCCTTGTGGCTCGGGTTAAAAGTCAAACCTGGCTGGCGTAGTGGCTCAGGCTTGTAATCATAGCACTTTGGGAGGCTGAGGCAGGTGGATTGCCTGGGTGATAGAATGAGACCCTGTCTCAAAAACAAAACAAAACAAAACAAAACATCCAACCCACTCTCTTTGCCCCTCACTGGTCTTGGTGACAGTGTCATGATAGGAGGTGACAGCTGAAGAGCGCTGAGGTTCCTAAGTCGGGAAAGGAGAGCTTCATTTCTCAGAAAGGGCTGCAGCCTGCAGGTGGCCTTTCAGACAGGCTGGGAAGTATAGCTTCTGGCCAGAAGCCAGAAACAGACCCTTTGAGGAAGGAACAGAGGGAAGAGGAATTTCTGCTGAGCGGGGGCTGAGTCTGCTTTTTAACAAGCCCAGGAGGGGTCCTGCGTGTTGATGAGAGGAGAAACGTGCACGTGGGCAGCTGAGCCCATGCCGCTTCATGGGATGCGCGTTCAAAATATGGTGGCACTGGCAGTACCCTCGGGGGGAGTTCTTTACTCTCTGACGTCAGAAGGTGAAGCAGACGACACTAAAGCCCTCCCTGCGTGTTCTCCGTAGACTATCTGGAGGAGGGCAGCAGCAGTGGAGTCTAGAAAGAGCAGTTTCTGTCCAGTCCTGAGTGAAGAAAGGCTAATGGCAGTTAGTGTGGGCCCGGGCGCATCGAGGCCTGTCTAGTCCCCCTCTGGTCACAGCCCTGAACTCAGTTTTCAGGGCTCCTCTGGAGTCCTCTAGGCCAAGAGGCGGTCCCTTCAGTCTATTGGAGGCTCAGGATTTTCTTTTCAGTTTACAGAGAACAGCCAGTCAGGAACTTCCATTTCATTGCTAAAGATTGGCTTTTAGGTTATTTTTCAATTGAGTCTAATTATTCATGTGCCAGGATTTTCTCTCTAGAAGTATCCTTAGAACAAAGTACACAGCTACCACGTTCACTCCATGTCCACAGTCTGCACGTGCGTGCGTCCGTGTGGAAGCTGTGAGCCCTGAGTGGAGGCTTCAGGCAGAACTCGCGGCAGGCCCTGGGTCACTCATCTTTGCAGCGGACGTTTCCCAAAATTTGCTGGTAATGGTGACACACTCACATGATTTGGAATCCAAAAGTATAAAAAAGCAACGGGTGCAGTGGCTCACGCCTGTGATCCCCACACTTTGAGAGGCTGAGGTGGGCAGGCTGCTTGAGGCCAGGAGTTTGAGACCATCCTGGACAACATACTGAGACCCCCATCTCTACAAAAAACACAAAAATTAAGTGGGTGTGGTGATGCGCCCCTGTGGTTATAGCTACTTGGGAGGCTGAGGTGGGAGGATTGCTTGAGGCCAGGAATTTGAGGCTGTAGTGAGCCATGATAGCGTTGTAATGACGTTCCAGTGGTCTAAAGGCAGCTGGGGGTCGCCTGTTCTAGTTTTCACCAGTTTCATGGGGCTCTGTCTTTCTCTGGTATTTGGTGAGGGGTCAAGAAGCTCTGGTGGCATCCCTGCCGTCTGGTTCCTTTAAAGAGCTGAGCCCATGGAAAAAGGGGCTGAAGGAGAACAGTGAGGAAAAGGAACTTTTGCTGTTATTTCACCCAGGCTGCCCTGGTAACACCCTTCCTGGGGGCTTGCTGTGGACACAGAAGCAAAGTGAATGTCCAGTGTTGCATCTGATTTTTGACCTCTTCTTACTCACTATTCCGCACCTTGCTTTTTTCCCAAAACAATTTGTCTGGAAGAATGTTGCATATCAGTACATGGAAAGCACTCATTCTTTTATAGCTCTGTGGTATTTTGTGGAATTGGTGTTTCATGATTGACTGAATCGGCCTCCTGCACACCAACCTTTATGCTGTTTTATAAGAAAAAGTTGGGGCAGGTTTGGTGGCTCATGCCTGTAGTCCCAGCACTTTGGTAGGCCGAGGTGGGCGGATCACCTGAGGTCAGGAATTTGAGACCAGCCAGGCCAACATGGTGAAACCCTGTCTCTTCTAAAAATACAAAAATTAGCTGGGTGTGGTGGCGGTTGCCTATAATCCCAGCTACTCTGGGCTGAGGCAGGAAAATTGCTTGAACTCGGGAGGTGGAGGTTTCGGTGAGCTGAGATCACACCACTGCACTCCAGCCTGGGTAACAGAGTGAGTTTCTGTCTCAAAAAAAAAAAAAAAAAGATAGAAACCCCATTGCAGTGGGGTAACAGAGTGAGTTTCTGTCTCAAAAAAAAAAAAAAAAAAAAAAAAAAAGATAGAAACCCCATTGCAGTGGGGTAACAGAGTGAGTTTCTGTCTTAAAAAAAAAAAAAAAAAAAAGGTTAGAAACCCCATTGCAGTGGGTGTCCGGCCTTCCTCTGAGCGTGTGCGGAATTCACGGGGTAAATTCGAGTCGGGGATGGCTGGGCTGGATGTCTGAGCATTTGGAGTCTTGCCCGATTTCTCTTGTGTCCGCCTCCCTGCCGCCCCCCGGGGAGGTTGTTCCTCCTGACGAGCCACACAGGTCAAATGCCTTTAGTGGTATTTTACACTTTAAAGTAAGTAGATTCCATGTTTGGAGTGGTTAGGTACTCAAAAAATACGATTTTTCACTAATTTCTTTTTCTTTGCCCCCCCACCCCCAAGATGGTTTCGCTCTATCACCCAGGTTGGATTGCAGTGGCGTGATCTTGGCTCACTGCAACCTCTGCCTCCTGGGTTAAAGCAGTTCTCCTGCCTCAGCTTCCTGAGTAGCTAGGATTACAGGTGTGGGCTACCACGCCCGGCTAATTTTTTGTATTTTTAGTGGAGACGGGGTTTCACTGTGTTAGCCAGAATGGTCTCTATCTCCCGACCTCGTGATCTGCCTGTCTTAACCTCTCGAAGTGCTGGGATTGCAGGAATGAGCCCCTCCCCAACTTAAAAAAATTTTTTAAACTTTTGTTAGGCGCAGTAGCTCACGCCTGTAATCCCAGCACTTGGGGAGGCCAAGGCGGGCAGATCACGAGGTCAGGAGTCCAGACCAGCCTGACCAACCTGATGAAACCCCGTCTCTATTAAAAGTACAAAAAATTAGCTGGGTGTGGTGGTGCATGCCTGTAATCCTAGCTACTACTGGCATGAGCCACCGTGCTGGGCCTAGTTTTTTGCTAATTTCTATTTCTAATGATACAGTTAGTTCATATTTAGCTCTTTGTTCAGGAATGAGCTGAACTTGTGACTCTCAGCAGCTGTCCCTGGCGTGGCCACAGCCAGGACTTGAGCTGCCTGAGACCATGCGCACCTGCTGTGCTTTGGGGAGTGATGGGCTTTCTGTCTGTGGAGAAAATCAGGCCCCAGCAAGATTGGCCATTTGGTGGGAATGTGAAGAGGGCAGCCCTGGGGTCTGTGTTTCGGGGGCGTGCCTCTCCCCATACCTCTGTTTCTGGGGATGCTGTTCCTTCCACGTTCAGGGCCGGCCCGCAGTGCGGTGCGGCCGCAGTCCTCCCGGGTGTCGTTTCTCTGGGGATGTTCTCTCACGCCCCTTTTGCTCCTCGCGTTTCCCCTTGTGCTTTACCCACAGCAGTCTCGTGGTTCAGGTGCAGTTCTCCCGTGTGTTACGGGTATCGGCTGTTTGGTCTTAACTGTCACCCCAGGAGAGTGGCATGTCCTTGAGGACAGGGCTCCGTCTCTGACGCTGCTGGCCTCGCTCCAGGGCTGCCTGCTCCTTTTGGAGCTTGGTGGATACAGGTGCCGACAGGCAAAGGCAGGCAGGCAGGCCTCGGGCCAGGGTGTCCTCCAGGCCCCTCTGATGGCAGGGACCAGCGAGACCTGGGGAAACCACACAGCCTGTGCCGGCCTGTGCTCTCAGGAGACTGAGGGAAGTGGTGGGCAGGAGAGATTTTATGCAGGATTAAAAACCTGTACCTCCAGGCCAGGCGTGGTGTCTCATGCCTGTAATCCCAGCACTTTGGGAGGCCAAGGTGGGAGGATCACTTGAGCTCAGGAATTTGATGCTCTAGGGAGCTATGATTACACCACGGCTCTCCAACTGGGCGAACAGAGCGAGATCCTGTCTCTAAAACGAAAAAAGAAAAATAAAAAAAATTTTTCATTTTAACTTCAAGGCTTGGCACAGTGGCTCACACCCGTAATCCCAGCACTTTGGGAGGCTGAGTTGGGTGGATCACAAGGTCAAGAGATCAAGACCATCCTGGCCAATGTGGTGAAATCCCATCTCTACTAAAAATACAAAAATTAGCCCTGGCATGGTGGTGGGCGCCTGTAGTCCTAGCTACTCAGGAGGCTGAGGCAGGAGGATCGCTTGAACCCAGGAGGTGGAGGTTGCAGTGAGTGGAGATCACGTCATTGCACTGCAGCTTGGGTGACACAGCAAGACTCTGTCATTTAAAAAAAAATTGTGACTTTACCAGAGAAGGTTATGAAAGTTCAGTGCTTTTCACTTTTAGGCTGAACAGAGCACTTCCTATCTTAGAAAAGTACCTTTTCTGTTTGTGGTATTTCTAACATTCTCCGTTCGTTGGCTAGTTTGACTGCCTTTGCTTTCAGCAGTGATCACATTGATCATGTGGGTGTTTTCTTCCCCAGAAAACAAACACATGACCCTCATTGAGAACTGCAGCCTGCAGTACACACTGAAGCCACACCCGGCCCTGGAGCCTGTGTTCCACCTTCTTCCCGAGAACCTTCTGGTGTCTGGTCTGCAGCAGATCCCTGGCTTGCTTCCAGCTCATGGAGAATCTGGTAAGGACGTCTTCGCTTCTCTCCGCTTGGTGAGTTGAGTCTGTGCTATTCACAGTGAAACCTCGAAGGCACTGGGCTCTTCTAGGGGAACGTGGGCCGAGCGCCCTCTGCAGCTCAGCAGCTCGGCCTGGCGGGGGTCGTGGTGGGCGAGGAGGAAGATGGCAATGCCATTCCAGTTTCTATTTCCCTCCTAAGTAGTGTCTCACGTCTTTCAAGTCATTCTGTCTTCTTTCGTTGGGAAGATGCTTTTGTGAGACACAGAGTTTATGTCTCTGTGACCACAGCCAGGAGGACTGTGGCTGGATCTCATCCACAGGGCATCGTATCAGTGACTTGATGGTGGTGATGATTTTAAAATTAAGATAAAATAAGAATAACATAAAATTGGCCATCTTAGCCCTTTGAAAATGTACAGTTGAGTGTGAGTAAGTCCATTCACAGTGCCATGCAGCCACCGGCGCCATCTGTCCCAGAACTCTTTCATCTTCCCGGCCGAGGCTTTGTCCCATTCAGGACTGACTCCCCAAGCCCCTGGCAGCCACCCTTCTGCTTTCTGTCTTCATGAGTTCGAGGACTCTAGGGACCTCCTGTGAGCGGAGTCACGCAGGCCTTGCCCTTCAGTGGCAGGTATTCTTCTAGGGCGACAGCGGAATTGCTCTGTTAGTTCATCCTAAGAGTGGAGTGTCTTCGAGGTTCTTTGCGGAATGTCTTCGGGGTTCATCCACATGATAGTGTCCGAATTTTCTTCCTTTTTCTTTTAAGGCTGAGTGATTTTCCGGTTTCTGGATGGACCCTGTTTTGCTGATTGTTTCATCGGTTTCTTGGGTTGCTTCCACCTCCTGGCTCTGTGAAGAATGCTGCTGTGAACAGGGTGCAGGGACTTGAGTATTTCTGGAAACTGAAATTCCTGTTAAAGGACAAGGGCTCTGGCTTGGTGTGGTTTGCAGAGGTTGATTCTCCACTGGTGGAATTGTGTCGACCCCAACAGCCATGGGAGGTTGAGGGTGTGCTCTGCTGTAGGAATCTGCTGGGCGGTCCTCGTGACCTGGGCCCCATGCTGCTTCCAGGCACTTCTTCCACACTTTTGTGTGGCTTTCTTGAGGAGTCCAGGAGAAGGGACCACACCAGCCTCTTTCTACCTGTCATGTGCTGGAGATGTTGTAGCACCGCCAGAACCTGCTGTCTTGGGTGACTGACTCCCTGCTGGTTTCCGGGAAGAGTAGGATTTGACCTTGTGTGTGAGGGGCGGGGATTGAGAACAGTGCTGTGCTGAGGGTTTGGCTCATTCTGGACCCTGAAGGAAGGGACGCAGCCTGCTCCAGCACGGGTCCCTGGTTGTCAGCGATGGCATCGCTGTGCGTTGCACAGGCGTTCTGGTTGGTGCTGGGATGTTATCATCGGAGTTAATTAATTTCTTGGATGGGTCTCTGGTGGATATCATCATTGTGAAGTCACTGTTTTTCCACCATTCCAGGGAGGAGAGGGTGAAATGAGAAGGGAGGAATGAACTCTGAAGACGAGCAAGCTTGGGGTCCTGGTCTGGGTCTCTCCTGGCTCAATGAGCTATAGGCACCTTCCATGCCTCCTTCAGAGTGTCTTATTACCCCTATAACCTGCCGGCAATCCTCTGAAAGAAAGAAAGAGATGGAGGGAAGGCCTCATTGTTACTGTTGTTGAGTTAGCGAAGAGAACAAGGAAACCTGTATCTAGCTCTGAGACCTGGGCCATGGCCTGTCCCTCTGGCCCCTGCTCTGCTGGCCAGGGAGAGCCCTGTAGGCCCTGCTGTGAGATGCAGCCTGGTTAATAGTGATCTTGGGGACCAGCTGTGAGATGTCACCTGGTTGATAGTGATCTTGGGGACCAGCTGTGAGATGTCACCTGGTTGATGGTGATCTTGGGGACCAGCTGTGAGATGTCACCTGGTTGATTGTGATCTTGGGAACTAGCTGTGTGTTCTTTCAAGTCAGCTGTGTGAGTCTTACCACCTGGGAGTCTTGGAGCTGGAGGTGTAGTCATCACTGGGACTTGCCAGTGGGTGTCAGTAGCACTGCAGACCAACAGAAATACCTGCAGGTCACTGTGGACTGGCTCAGTCTCATGACTAGGACAGCAGTTGAGAAGCTGAGTGCCCAAGAAGACAGGCCTGGTTTTGTCCCTGGTGTCTTGTGTCCAGCTGGGACCAAGGGAGGCACGAGATGGAGATGGAGTTTTGGGTTTAAGAAGCATGTGGCTGGGTATAGGACTCCTGCTCCTCATCCTTAAAGGCCACGTTTTGGAAGAGGCCTGGCCCGTTGGCCTCAAGTTGTCCTCCAGATATGGAGCAGCCGGTCAGTCCAAGGCGCTGAAGGAATGCAGACGGTGCCGGTAACATTACAAAATAAAGGACATTTTATGCTGCTGGTGTTGAAAATCAAATGAGCAGGGGATCTGAAGGCAGGGCCAGCACATGCCCTGGTGTCTGGAGGGAGGGAGGCTTGAGTGACTGACTCCACCAGGTGAGGGCCACATGTGCCCCTTTGGAGAGAAAGGACAAGTATCTCAGCAACACCCACACCCCTGCCCCGGGGCCGTTTTAGGAGAGAAACACAATTTGCCTAGTTTTTTTTTGTTGTGTGTGGGGTGCCAGTGTTGTGTGGGCCCTGAGGGTACTTTCTACTTTCTTTTTATTTTACTTCTTAAACTTTAAAAATTATGAGTGTGTGTATATGTATATATATATATATGTATATATATGTAAAATGAGAGCCAGATTTTTCTCTGATTCTATTTTTTTTTTTTTTTTTTTTAGACAGGGTCTGGCTCTGTTGCTCAGGCTGGAGCGCAGTGGCACGATCTGGATTTGCTGCAAACTCCACCTCCCACGCTCAAGTCATTCTCCCTCCTCAGCCTCTTGAGTAGTGGGGACTACAGGCATGTGCCACCGTGCCTGGCTTGTTTTTTTTTAGACAGTCTTGCTCTGTCACCCAGGCAGGAGTGCAGTGGCACAATCTTGGCTCACTATAATCTCTGTCTCCTGGGTTCAGGCAATCCTGCTGCCTCAGCCTCCCAAGTAGCTGGAATTACAGGCCTGTGTCACTATGCCTGGCTAATTTTTGTATTTTTAGTAGAAATGGGGTTTCAACCATGTTGGCTAGGCTGGTTTTGAACTTCTGACCTCAGGCGATCCACCTACCTTGGCCTCCCAAATTGCTGGGATTATAGGCATCAGTCACAGGGCCCAGCCTCCAGCTCATTTTTGTATTTTTTGTAGAGACAGGTTTCTCCATGTTGCCCAGGCTGGTCTCGGACTCCTGGGCTCAAGCATCAAGGAATCCACCCGCCTTGGCCTTCCAAAGTGCTGGGATCACAGACCTGCGCCACTGTGCCTGGCCTTGAGGCTGCTTTCTGACTAGTGCCGACACAGCCTGTCTATTGTGTGCCCCTTTTATACAATGCAAAAGACCACTTTAAAACCACAGAGTTCATCTTTATTCAATATATTTAGTAAAGACGGAAAGTCTTCCCTTCTAGTCTCACTTCGTGGAGAAAACCACTGCTCATAGTTTGGTGTATATCTTTTGTATATTCACTAATTCATTCATTATTCATTGATTTATTCAACAAGTATCTGTTGTGTAGACACTGTGAAGCAAGCCCTGGCTTGGTTGCTAAGGATGTCGCATTGCTCTCTTAGGAGATACGTCAGCTCTCTCTTGAACGGATTTTGGTAGGGCAGACCTCAAATCTAACCACAGTCACCAAAGGCAATACAAGGTGTTTTAGAAGAAACCTCGACTAGCTCAAAGTCATTTTCATTCCTGCTTAAATCATTCCCAAGTTTAGTTTTCATTCCACTGCCACTATTACAGTGTTCTTACTTTTTGAGGTACATTTTGGTGAATTAAGTATTCTTAGTAGAAGAGATAGGTCCCCAGGAGGCTGTGGACCATGGGAGCCTGTTAGGGCCCAGGGGACTCTTAGGGCTCTCTAATGGATATCAGTGGTAAGGGGGTTCTTGCTTGTGAAGGGTTTGCTGGCAACCCCCATTTTCTCTGTAGTGTGTTTGTGGGAATCCCAGAATAAAATGGATTGTTGTAGAGTAGAGCGCGTTTTTTTCCAGGGGAGCAATGCTGTTATTTGGGAATTCCATTCCTAGTTAGAGACTCGGACCCAGATAAATGAAAGGTTGTCTTAGCTGCAGAGCATGAGGGCCAGAACACCTCTGCTGCTGTGGGCTCACTTCTGCCAAGGTGGGGTTCATGTTTGTCTTGGTTGCCACTGTTGGTTGGTTAGTTGAATGAGTGAATGAATGAACGGTTTCAGATAGTGAAAAGATGCTTGTGGGTTATGCTGGAGGCTGACAGACCTGTGGCAGATGTCTGTTCCATGTCTAGCCACGGTGTGAGCTCTGGTCAGGTCCTAGTCTCTCCAAGTCTTTGCTTTTGTTTTTCCTTGATAAATTGGGGACGGTAATAGGGCCTGCTCATAAGGATGTATTTGGGGAGAAAATGAGATGGATTGGTAAAGCACTAGCGTCTCATCATCAAAGTTCTGTCTTAAATCCATCCCAGATCCAAGCCTCCCACCTCAGAGCGTCCTGGGAGGTCTGATCTGTTTTCCCTTTTCTAGCCCTTCAGATGTGCGAAGGCAAGACTTTTTGTCCAGGCCTGGTATCTCGAAGGTTCCAGAGTAACTTGGTGGCAGAACCAGGCTTGGACTTAGGCTCTTTACTCCAGAGCCTGTGATGCTTGCAAGACGTGGCCTGGAAAAAGCGGCTGAATGAGGCTACCCAGCCTTGTCCGGCTTTCCTGGGCCCTCCAGGATCTGGAAGGTTCTACTCACTGCAGATGTAGCTCCTCAGTCAGGCTGTCCTGGAGGGAACCTGTCTTTCCTCCCCTAACGACTTCCTGTGCATGGGACTCGCGTCGTCAGCTCTCTGTGTAGACCAGGGTCACAGCTATAGGAATGGCTGCTGGGGGTACATGTGCACGCTGGTCATGGGGTGGCCACGAAGAACCCACTTCCAGGAATGCTGAGTTCTGCCCCCTCCCAGATGACTAGTGACCCTGATTGCTCCATTGAGTTGCCGCCCCTTATGATGGGGCACCCGTGGCACACAGGTGATCCTTCCTAAAGGAAGTCGGTTTGGTAAATGGCCTTTGTCCTCTGTTATTTTAGTTTATATAATTTCGCCCTCAACTTTTTGAAACATTCTGTTAAATTTTGTTGACACATTGTAATTGTGATACAATTTTGACACATTTGAGAGTTATCAAATGTGGAACAATTTAATGTTTCAATACACTTACGTGTTGTACAATGATCAAATGAGAGTATTAGGGTGACCAGATCTCCCACACTCGTTCTGTGATGAGGACATTCAGAGGCCACCCGTCTAGCTATTTCGTATTTTACAGTAACTTACTGGTAACCATCATTATCCTACGGTGCAAGAGCAGCAGAATTTATTCCTCCTATCAGGTTGTAACTTGTACCATGACCCCTTGACAACCTCTGCCTTTCTCCCCTCCTCAGTCTCGGGAACCACTGTTAGATGCTCTGCTTCTGTGGTACCAGCTCTTTATTTGTCTAACTCCCACATGTGAGTGAGATCATGTGGTATTTGACTTTCTGTGCTTGGCTTCTTTCACTTTACCTTGCTGTCTGCTGGGTCCATCTGTGTGGTGGTGTTGCAAGCGGCAGGGCCTCATTCTTTTTCATGGCTGCTAAGCACCCCACTGTGCATATATACTCCTTTGCTTGACCCAGTCCTCTGCTGATGAACATTTAGGCTGATTCTGTCACCACCATTGTGAATAGTGCTGCAATAAACATGGAATGGCGATACCACTTTGACAGGCTGATTTCATTTCCTTTGGATATTCTATACTCACTAGTGGGATTGCTGGATTATATAGTAATGCTGGTTTCAATTTTTTGAGAAACCTCTGTACAGTTTTCCATAGTGGCTGTCCTAGTTTGCAATCCCGCCACAGTTCCCGTTTCTCCACGTCCTCACCAGCTCGCTCTTTCTTTTGTCTTTTTGATCATGGCCATTCTCACTGAAGTGAGGGGCGTCTCATCGCGGTTTTGATTTTCATTTCCCTGATGACTAGTGATCATGAGCATAGTTTCTTGTGCCTATAGGCTGTTTGAATTTGAATGCCTTCTTTTGAGAATGTCTATTAAGGTCTCCTGCCCATTTTAAAATCAAGTTACTAGTGTTTTTGCTGTTGAGTTGCTTACATTCCTTATGTATTCTGGATATTAACCCCTTGCCAGGTAGCTACTTTACAAATATTTTCTCCCACTCTCCAGGTTCTCTCTTCACTTGCTTGTTTCCTTTGTTGTGCAAGACCTGATCTTTGGATATACTCCATTGATTTCTTTCTGCTTTTGTTGCCTGTGCTTTATAGTTTTCTTTAAAAAAATCCTTACTCAGCCCAGTGTTACTTTAAAAAATCCCTACTCAGCCCAGTGTTACAAAGCATTTCTTCTGTGTTCTTCTAGTGTTTTTTTCATAGTTTCAGGTTTTACATTTAAGTTTTTAATATATTTTGAGTTGATGTTTCTATATGGTGAGAGGTAGGGTGTCTCATCTCCTTCGCTTGTGGGTGTCCAGTTTGTCCAGCACCATTTATTGAAGAGACTTGTCTTTCCCCAGTGTGTGTTCTTGGCACCTCTGTTAAAAAGCAATTGGCTGTAGGTACATGAATTAATTTCTGGACTGTCTGTTCTGTTCTATTGGACAAATGTAATGTGAGTTTGTGATGGGGACAGTATGGAAATCTATAAAGAAGGAAGTAATCTACAGTTACTGCCTGCAGATATCCATGCATACATCTAAGTGCATAAACATTTAAATCACATTGCTATCAAATGGAATAATACAGTTTTATATGTTACTATTCTTTTCACTTGCAGTATTATGATTGTTTCTCAGTTTCTTAAATAACCTTTGATAATATGATTTTTTTGTTCTGATTTGGTATGAATGACTAAGAGTTTAATGAACATTCTCCTATGAACATTTGGTTGTTTTCGATTTTTCTCTATTATAATAAGGTTTTACTGAATATTCTTGCACATAAATCTTTGCTTCTGTCTTTGATTATTTTCTCTGAATAGGTTCAAAAAATGGGATGACTGGGTCAGAAAGTGAGATTTGAAAGCTTTTGATATACACGAAGGCAAAGGTGATACTGACTCATACCCTTCTGCAGGATCGTGGAGTGCTCTTTTGACGGCAGATTCATCAGTATTGTTACCCCAGTGTTTTCTTTTTTTTTCAACTTTGGAATTAGCTTTTTAAAATTTGCATATGTAAATTGTCATTAAAATGTAGCGATAGATGGAGCAAGGACCGGAGGATGACGGTGGAGAAGTACGGGCAGAGTCCATGCTGTGTGTAGGTTGGGAAGCGGCTGGCTCATCCTTCCTCCTCCTGGATGAGCCTTTCCTCCCGAGCCAGTGGAGAAGGCTCCGCAGGGAGCCCTGGGCCTTCCCTTTCTCAGCCAAGGTTTTTTACAGGCCTGCTCTGCACCGGACCCTGAGCTAGGTCCATGGGGCCACTGTCCTCTGGATGGGACCGTTTTCTCATGGTGCTGTTCAGGCTGTATTTTGCTGGTCACCTTGACAGGCTCGTGCGTGTTCAGTGTGTTTGCAGATGGTTCACGGTGATGCAGAAAAGTAAGGAGCAGCGGGGCTGGCCGTGTTCCTGCTGGAGAGGAGGGACGCCATGCAGGGGAGCAGGCTGCAGGGGCACACATGTGACTTTGCCTTCTGCAATCTGTATTCTTTGAGTTGTTGAACATAAAAACTGCTGCTGGAGGAGGTTTGGGGTAGAATTTGGACTGCCAGTGGAATCTGCATTTGCTTAATTGAGGTGGAGGCTCAGCTTGGGCCTTGTGTTCCGTCTGGGGATCCCAATCACCCTTCTTTGCTGCAGGCCCAGGCTGAGGCTGGGGTGGGTGGGGGCCCTTGGTGGCTGCTGGTGGGTGTTTTATTCCCAAGGATGATCCTTGTTGCACCCTTGCTGTTTCAGGCGACGCTCTCCGAAAGCCTCGCCTCCAGAAGCCCATGACGGGGCACTTGGACGACTTATTCTTCACGCTGTACCCTACCCTCGAGAAGTTTGAGGAAGAGCTGCTGGAGCTCCTCGTCCAGGACCACTTCCAAGAGGTGAGGAGTCGGAAGCCTGATTGGGGGCAGTGTGGGGCCAGGCAGGGGTGGAGCCCTGTGGGGGCAGGGAGGAGGTGGGGCAGGGTAGGGGTAGGTAGGGCAGGGGAGACCCCATGTCTGATGCTGCTGGGGAGGGCTCTGTGGCCATAAGTAACATGGTTATGTCTTTCGCCACTTTTTGGAGCTGAACTGGACCTTTAGGGACCCCTTTTCTCCGCAGCCAAGGCCCCCGCAGAGCCTCTAGCTGTTGTTTTAACTTGAACAGTGACAAAGGTGCTGTTGGCCTGAGTTGTTAATTATGTTAACTGGTAGGTCATAAAATAGTCCTCATTTAAAGTTAACTAAGTCAGGAGATGAGCATAGGGAAACGCATAGAACCCTTCCCACGTTCAGAAGACGTCAGCGGGGACATGAGGCTCACTTCCGGAGGTGGCAGGAAGGCTCGATCATCTCACCCACCTTGGCCCCTGGGAAGGCGTCCCCAGCCTCACTGTCCCCTCAGCCTGCCTGTGGCACACATCTTGCGTTCTGGTCACACTTCCTGCTGTTCTTGTCTGTTGCTCTTCAGTGTGTGGGTTTGTCCAGGTGTCCTGGCAGGGCGTCTAGGGGGTTGCCTGTCTGTTAGGCAGAGGCTGTCTGTCCTGTTTGCCTGTGGCCCCTGGGAGGGATGTCCACATTGTGCAGGCGGCTGGAGCTCAGCCTGTGTTGCATGCAGCATGCGCTGAGGTTTCCTCTCCGACCCCAACCCAGCGATGCCCCAGCTTGTAAGCTGTAAAACACCAGGGCCAGGGAGGTTGTCTCTGGACCTCCTGTCACCTCTGACAGCAAAAGTTATCTTGGATTTTCTGTGCAGAAGCGTGTTTGTATGCCAGAATGTCTTGGAAAAGCCTTTGTGGTTTTGGGGACTGCTTGTGTTTTTTAGGTGACAGTCTGTCCTTGGTCTGGAAAAATTGGGTCTGATGAACTGTCACAAATGCTTTTGGAGTGAGGTCTGTCCACCCTGACTCTTCTGTCCCCAGCAGCAGTGGGAGCAGGCATGTGGGATGCAGACTGCCCAGTCTGCTGGGATCCTGAGCCCAGCCCCCTTGCCTGCACCTTCGCTGATGGTCACCAGATGGAGTGGGGAGAAGAGGGGTCAGCCCTGGCTGCTCTCAGCTCTGGAAGGAGGGGCCCTCAGACCTGGGTTGTGGGCAGACCACTCCGTGTTTCCCTCCTAGTACAAGAGAGAGCCTTCCCTTTTGACTTTAGAAACAAAGAGAAAGGTTTGTCAAAGATCAGATGGTTGTAGATGTGTGGCATTATTTCTGAGGCCTCTGTTCTGTTCCATTGGTCTATATCTCTGGTTTGGTACTAGTACCATGCTGTTTTGATTACTTTAGCCTTGTAGTTTAAAGTCAGGTAGTGTGATGCAAAAGCAAGCAATGAGGAAAGGATTCTCTATTTAATAAATGGTGTTAGGAAAACCGGCTAGCCATATGCAGAAAGCTGAAAGTGGATCCCTTCCTTATACCTTATACAAAAATTAACTCTGGATGGATTAAAGATTTAAACATAAGACCTAACACCATAAAAACCCTAGAAGAAAACCTAGGCAGTACCATTTAGGACACAGGCATGTGCAAGGACTTCATGACTAAAACACCAAAAGCCAAAATAGACAAATGGGATCTAATTAAACTAAAGAGCTTCTGCACAGCAAAAGAGACTATCGTTAGAGTGAACTGGCAGCCAGCAGAATGGGAAAAAGTTTTTGCAGTCTACCTGTCTGACGAAGGGCTAATATACAGAATCTACAAAGAACTTAAACAAATTTACAAGAAAAAAACAACCCCATCCAAAAGTGGGCAAAGGATATGAACAAACATTTCTCAAAAGAAGACATTTATATAGGCAACAAACATGAAAAAAAGCTCATCATCACTGGTCATTAGAGAAACGCAAATCAAAACCACATTGATATACCATCTCATGCCAGTTAGAATGGCGATCATTAAAAAGCCAGGAAACAACAGTTGCTGGAGAGGGTGTGGAGAAATAGGAATGCTTTTACACTGCTGGTGGGCGCATAAATTAGTTCAACCATTGTGGAAGGCAGTGTGGTGATTCTTCAAGGATCTAGAACTAGAAATACCATTTGACCCAGCAAGCCCATTACTGGGTATATACCCAAAGGATTATAAATAATAAAAAATATTGAATAATAAATATAATGATGTATTCTGTTATAAAGACACATGTACACACGTTTATTGAGGCACTGTTCTGTAGGAAAAGATGGCCAGGGTCAGACCTGTGTTACTTACAGTTAAATGATTACAAGCTTGCTTTGCTTTTTATACACTGAGATTTGTGCCACGGATCAAATGCTGAATTAAGAAAACTCCAAACTGTGGTGCATTAAAATAAAAGCAGAGATCAAGCGGTAACAGGAGGCCTCTAGTGAAGACCGTCGGAGAGCTTCATAACCACGGGACGCTGCAGTGTGGTTGCAAGGCAGCAGAGACGGCTTTGGTCCCACGATCTCTTCCCAACACAGGGTTTGCATGAGGGTCTCGTAAAGAGGGCTTGTGCGAGAACTCTGGGAAGGAACGCAACCTCTGCTCACAAGACTCAGGAGGGTCTTTGCAGACGGGAGCTTGTAGGACAGGAGGAGCTCGCAGGACGGGGAGCTCGCAGGACGGGGGGAGCTCGCAGGACGGGGGGAGCTCGCAGGACGGGGGGAGCTCGCAGGACGGGGGGAGCTCGCAGGACGGGGGGAGCTCGCAGGACAGGGGGGAGCTCGCAGGACAGGGGGAGCTCGCAGGACAGGGGGAGCTCACAGGATGGGGAGAGCTGGAACGCCACGGGCTCTACCTGTGTTCTCAGAATATGGAGTATTTCTGACTGCTCTGGGTCACAGTGCTCAGGAGATAAAAGCCCCTTGATGGGCGGTGTGTGCTCAGACTGTATGGCGTCTTATCCGCCTCATCTGCTGTGCCTCTTGGCACGTGCACCTGTATAAACAATGGGTGGTAAAACTCAGGGTCCTTAGCATTTCTTAGAAGAACCACATTTGCTACTGAATGCTGCAGATACATGCTTCCCCCCATCTTCCTTCTCACCTTTCCCCACAGCCTGCAAGATTAATGAGATAATGCACCCAATAAAAGCATGTGGAGCCCAGAGCCAACTTGGTTCACCCTGCACCTGGAGAGTACGCTGGCCCCTTGGACATGCTGTTGAATTCCTCTCTTCTCTTTGTCTTACTTCTTTTCTCACTCCCTTGTCACCGCTGGGACTTGGCACCCACGTACAGGGTTGGGCTGGTTCCCAACATGTTCACAATAGCAAAGACTTGGAACCAACCCAAATACCCATCAATAATAGATTGGATAAAGAAAATGTGGCACATATATATACCATGGAATACTATGCAGCCATAAAAAGGATGAGCTCATGTCCTTTGCAGGGACATGGATAAAGATGGAAACTGTCATTCCCAGCAAACTGACACAAGAACAGAAAACCAAACACTGCTTTGTCTCACTCATAAGTGGGTGTTGAACAGTGAGAACACATGGACATATGGAGGAGAACATCACACACTGGGGCCTGTCAGGGTTGGGGGGCTAGGGGAGGGATAGCAGGGGGTGGAGGCTAGGGGAGGGATGACAGGAGAAATACCTAATGTAGATGACAGAGGGATGGAGGCAGCAAACCACCATGGCACGTGTATACCTATGTAACAAACCTGCATGTTCTGCACATACACCCCAGAACTTAAAGTATAATAATAGAAAAAGAGAAACTGTACCTGCAGAGAGCCAAGAGACTGGCGTGGGTAACGTCTTGCTATTGCTTTGAGTCCTTTTCATTCACGCCCTTTTCATGATGAATCCCACAGAAGTGTGTAGTTGTGTGACTGCACGACACGAGGAAGGACGGTGGAGGGAGGCCCTGTGTCTGGCACCCACAGAGCCCCACGGGCAGAGGGAGGCCCTGTGCCTGGCACTCACAGAGCCCTGTGGGCAGAGGGAGGCCCCGTGCCCGACATCCACAGAGCCACACGGGCAGAGGGAGGCCCTATCCTCGGCACCCACAGAGCCCCACGGGCAGAGGGAGGCCCTGTGCTTGGCACCCACAGAGCCCCACGGGCAGAGGGAGGCCCTATCCTCGGCACCCACAGAGTCCCACGGGCAGAGGGAGGCCCTGTGCCCGGCACCCATAGAGCCCTGTGGATCTCATCCTGGCTGCACCTTCCTCCCAGCCCATTCCCCCGGACCTTTGTGCTAATCACGTCTTGGCTTTTTGTTCTGGTTTTATCGCCTGCAGATGCATCTCTAAACAATACAGGCTTGCCTGCTTTTGACCTGTCTTTAAATGAAGTCATACTTTTTTCTTCTGTTTTCTTTTTGCTGCTTTCGCTCAAGACTGTGCTCCTATGAGTCTGCAGTGGATGGGGCTCTGTTTGCTCACATTCTCTGCTGCATGGTCGTGAGGGCACTAGGATCCATGGATCCACTCTGCTGTTGATGGACTTCTGGGCTGTTTGCAGGTTGTGGCTGAGCATTCTTGCATCTATATCCTGACTCTTAGTAGAATCTCCAGCCGGAGGTAAAAGGGACTTTCTTGGAAAAACCTTATGGGCCTGTGATGAGCTGGCTGGTCCACTGGGGGCTGCCGGTCGAGGGTGACCTTGTCTGGCGTGGCTCCCCGTGGCCTCTCCTCCTGTGGCAGTCAGACTGGGCTTGCTCTCTTGCAGGCAGGTGTTTCAGAGAGGAGCTGGAAGTGTGCGGACATTTTCAAGCCTCTCTTTGGATTAAATTTGTTACTCTCCCATTGGCCAAAGCAGGTCACTGGCCAAGTCCAGAGTCGGAGAAGTAGGGGACTCCCGGTTACAGGGCAAAGGGAATGGCTTTAAAGAGCCCTTTCCCGGAGCTGTGAATGAGTCAATTGCCGTGAGGGTTTGGTGGAATTCCCAGGGTTTTGCCACCTCGGCCGTAGCTCCTAGGGTGGAGGCAGAGTTGGACATGGCGCCTGCCCTCCCCGCTTTGCGCTTCAAGGATTGGGTCCTGTCCTGGCCCGGGTCCTGAAGGCCGTTGTGTTCTGTTAGCCGCCATCCTTGGTTAGTGGCATTTTCTGCTCCTTAGGTTTTGGGGAAAGGAGATTCTCTGAGGAAGTGTCCCTGTCATGTTCACTTGAAAGTCGCAGAGAACATACTTCTCACTCCGTTGTCAAAGAGATCTTTTAAAAACATAATTCATCTCTTCTCGGCCTTTTGGCAAAGATCAAGTGTGAAAACATAAATTCAGCCATTTTTTCTTCTGTGTTTAAAACATGCTGCTGGCTTCTCATTGCCCTTGGACTGAGCCGCAGGCTCCTGGCCCTCCAAGATGTGCGTGGCTGGGTCTTTGCCGCTTTCTCCGCCTCCCTGTGTGCCGCTTCCTGGGCCTGCTTGCAGTCCTGGACTCCGGCATGCCTCCGCCTGCGCGGCCTCGGTCTCGTGCTTGTTCTTGCGTGGGTCCTGGAACACGTAGCTGACTTTCTTGAACTTTCTTCCTGCACATCTCTGTGCGCTTCCCCTCAGGCTTCAGGTCTGGACGGGGTCCCCTGACTGTCCTGCAGGGGCGCTGTTCCTGCCCTTGCCCCCGTGTCTCCGGCTGTCACCCTTCGTTCCTCCTGGGCGCTCAGCCGTTCCTGGGAGCAGCTAGCCACCTCTGCTACTGTCTGTCTCCTGTGGGGAGTGTTTGCATCGCCAGGAGAGGGGCCTTGTTTTGTTTACCATGACACGCGATGGGCATGAATGGGGGTTGGCACATAGTAGGGCTGTAAAGTTAGCAAGTTATTCATTGTGTGTGTGCATGAGAGAGAGAGAGAGAGAGAGAGAGAGAGAGAGAGAGAGAGAGACAGCAAGAGCAAGAGCAAGAGCTGGACTTGTTTGCTTCCTACCCGTTCTTGAAAATGCAGTTCCACATAATTTGGGCTTACATAAACACAAAGCAGAGAGTAGGACTGAAGTAGCGACATCCATTTCCTTAGTATAGTTCCTGCTGTTTTCTTGTTTTTCAGGCTGGATTGTGTGAGGGTAGAGATGTTTTAGCAGTATCATTGTTGAATTTTATATATTCTCATAAAAATAACTTTATTACGTATTTTTGCTGTCTTTGTATTTTTGTTCCAATCCAACTGGCAGATACTCAGTTATCTGCATAGTTTTATTTTCATTATCTGAAGACTAATAGGCTGGATTTAGGCCTGTTCAGCTTGATTAATTGGCAGTAAAGAAAACTCAAAAATTCAGGGATCATTTTGCAAAGATCACACAATTTAATAAACACTAAGAGCCAGGGGGAATATCCTTGTTCATTTGTTAGGGTGCCTGTACATTTTTTGTTTAGATGAAACACTAGTATCAGGTGACCACTGTGGGGCAGATTCTGTTTGTATTGGTTTATGAAGTAGTGCCTAAACATGATTCCCCCTGTATGCCAAGTCTCAGGTCTCTGGGTAGACAGAGTGGAAACGTGATGAGCTCTGCCCCTGAGCACCTCTCCAGCATTGTCCAGGGAAGTGGGTTCTGGGGAAGTGGGCTCCAGGAAAGTGTGCTCTGGGGAAGGGGCTCCGGGAAAGTGGGCTCCGGGGAAGTGGGCTCCGGGAAAGTGGGCTCCGGGGAAGTGGGCTCCGGGGAAGTGGGCTCCGGGAAAGTGGGCTCCGGGGAAGTGGGCTCCGGGAAAGTGGGCTCCGGGGAAGTGGGCTCCGGGGAAGTGGGCTCCGGGAAAGTGGGCTCCGGGAAAGTGGGCTCTGGGAAAGTGGGCTGTGGGACCTTGGAGGAGTCTTGAAGGAGCCAAATATGAGTTTGCTGCATTTTGAGATGGTCAGCTTAACCTTGGAAAGCTAGGGTCGGGGTTTGGGGATCAAGGCATCTGAAGGTGTGCATTGCACTGAGGGGATCATGCTGTGTTGGAAATGCTGAAAACTACCCGGGCCATGCCCCAGGGCCAGTGGCTGGGGATTGGGTGCGGTATCTGTCATTTGCTTGGACTCATCTTGACTAAGCATCATCTGATCTGGAGTTACCTGCAATTTCTATTCTGGTTTCTTCTCTCAGGGGTTCTGGCAAGCTCCCTCTTCCCGTCTGTGCCAGGACTCATTCCTTCTGCCTGTGTCTCTTCCAGGGATGTGGCCTGCTGGACGGTGGTGCCCTGGAGATCCTGGAGCGGCGCCTGCGTGTGGGTGTGCACAACGGTCTGGGCTTCGTGCAGAGGCCGCAGGTGGTTGTACTGGTACCTGAGATGGACGTGGCCTTGACACGCTCAGCCAGCTTCAGCAGGAAAGTGGTCTCCTCTTCCAAGACCAGGTATTGCCTCCCGGGTCCCCAGGGCTGGGTGGGGACATAAAAGGGATCAGGATGAAGTGAGGTTGTTTGTGCACGTCAAGTTTGGACTCAGCCACGTGCGAGTTCTTCCTTGTTCTCTCTCATCTTGCTAAGTTATACCCATTAGGAACAAACCTTGGAGTTGGAAGTTTGGAAAAAGCCCCCCCCCCAACTTTGTTTTCCTTTTGTGCTCTGACAATTTTGGAGTTAGCATTATGGGTGCTTTCAGCTGTGACTGCTGAGGGTCTGTGGAGGCCTTGCATGCTGCCTTCTAGACGTGCTATGTGAGTAGTTTCGAATAGGACAGAGAACCGGGGGCAGCAAGACCTGCTGCTCTGTTTAATCCGGTGCTTCCCAAATCAGGTGTCACAGACATCACTGCAGGGCGACATGCCTTTCCTCTCTCATGGTGCCAGGCAGAGGCCAGCTGTCCTCTGCCGTGGGCCAGCCTTGAAGAAGGAGCCTCCATCTTCTGTGACATTTCCTGGTAACTTGGCTGTATTAGGCCTGCAGGCAAGCTTTGGTGATTTGGAAAAGGCTTGAGCAATGAGAGGCCGAGGAGGCAGGATTACTTGAGCTCAGGAGTTTGAGACCAGCCAGCCATGGCAGCATAGTGAGAGCCCCATCTCTTCAAAAAAAAAGAGAGAAAGAAAGAAAAGAGCATTGGTTTGGTTTGGGGAATTTCCACACCACTTGAAAGAGCACGAGGTGTTGCACGGTGGACTGTGTCCCGGAGGGTGTCCTCTTGGCTCTTGGTGGCAGTGGTCAACGTGGACATGGGAAAGATGGGAGCTGGAGCTCTAATGAGCCCCTGGTTTGTGTTTCTGGCCCAGCTCTGGAAGCCAAGCTCTGGTTTTGAGAAGCCGCCTCCGCCTCCCGGAGATGGTCAGCCACCCCGCGTTTGCGGTCGTCTTCCAGCTGGAGTACGTGTTCAGCAGCCCTGCAGGAGTGGACGGCAATGTAAGAGCAGCCCTTTTGCACTCAGGTTCCTCTGGCGATGAGCTCTGTGAGCTGACGATAGATGTAGATGCTCTTTCCATTAAAAACAGGCGTGATTATTATAAATACTAAGTACAAATCGCTGACATTTACCAGCCTGTTGTAAGGAATGTCACAATGGATACAGACGAAATGGAGAGGGCAAAGAATGTGGGAAGCGCTTGGAGCTCCTGTGCCCTCCTGGGCACCGCCCTTTGGGTGCCTCTGTGCTTTTGGCTGTCCAGAAGCTCTCTGAAGCCAGTCCTTTTGGGTTTTTATGGAAACTTCATTATGTAGATGTGACTGATTAAACATTGACCATTGATGATAAACGCGACCTTCAGCCCCTCTTCTCCCCCTGCCTTAGTCTTTCTGTGAGCAGCCCCGTCCTGAAATCACCTGGGGGCTACCGACCACCAGGGTCATCTCATTAGCACACAAAAGATAACACTTTGGAAATTCCAAGAATTTCAGGAGTTGTATACCAGGAAACTGGATGAAGGCCAAATATATATTTCACAAATCATATACATTCTGCTGGCTGGGAGTAATTAATATGTCAGTAAGTTTCATGTATCATAATAGCATTAATTCATGATTATCGAATTGGTAATTATTTTGAAAAATGAGGCCATTTTAATGTATTTCTACTTAAGTGTGGTAGAGCTTGAATTTACACAAGTTAGAGATGGTTTCTCATAGGGAACTTTATATATCCCTATATAATGCTAAGATTTTATAGGTTCAGTTGAAAGAAATAAAATATGTGGACATCATTTACGTCATTAATGTAGATTCTTTGAAAAACCCAAATCCTGCTACTCTTTAAGATTTAGTTTTCTGTTTGAAAAAGCCAATCCTGTATTCTGCCTTATCCAGGGGGCGTGTGTTCCAAGACGCCAGTGGGTACCTGAAATCTCTATGGTACTTGAACCCTACACAGTACGTACTAGGTATTTTCCTGCATATACATACCTGTGATACAGTTCATAAATTAGGTACAGTAAGAGATCAAACAGTAATAACGTAGTAAAATAGAACAGTTATCATAATACACAGTAACGCAAGTGAAGGTATCTGTCTCTTTTTCTACCTCTCAACTGCAATGGATGGGTAGTGTCTACTGTGCAGATACATGGGATGAAGGTGTGACTCACGTTCTGGGTGGGACAGTGCCAGACCTAATCACACTGCTCAGAGTGGTGCCCAGTTTAGGACTTACAGATTGTTTTCTTCTGGAGTTTTCTATTTAATATTTTCAGACCAAGGTTGACTGAGGGTCGCTGAAACTGCAGATTGGGGCACTTCTGTATCATTTTCACAAGTAAATTAGAAATTAAAAAATGGCTGACAGGACCTCTTTTCCCATGGCGACCTGGCCTGACCTGGCCTGCCACCGTCACTGGGCAGATCTGTCAGGAACAGCCTGAGAAGGGGCATGAGATGCTGAGGATGGTCTTGGGGTGTGCCTCAGGCCGGAGAGCAGGGTGTCGGGGTGTCACTGCTATCTGGCATCTCTGATCTCTTGGGCAGCGGCGAGCTGACTGGCCATTGTCCACACCTCTAGTACCTGTGATTCTGAGTCCTAATTAGGTGCAGACATCCAGAGGTGCCAAGTGTTCTGTGGCCTTACGCAGTCACAGTCATTTAATGAAATTGCTGTTCCAGTTCTGCTTTTCTTTACCTATAAACAGAACTTTCAGCTAAAATGCCGTGCTGTTTGTGCATACCCTTGGGTGGGAGGGGCCTTCTAGGGTGGGTGTGGCTCATGGAGAGGGATGGGGCTGCCAGGACTGGGGAGTGAGCCAAGGAAAAAGGGCCTGAGGGTGCCCTGGCAGCGCCCAATGCTTGATGTGTGGTGCCCAGGGGCTGTGGGGGGAGGTGGGGAGGAGCAGGCGGCCTGGCGCCTCACTCGCAGTGTCTTCTAGAGAATGTTAACTGTAATTTACCTGTGATTATGGCGTTTGTGTGCCGAAACCAAGATGTCTTAAGTGACACTTTATTTCTTTTTAACCCACATCTGAAATTCCCGACAGCAGGTGGTTTCGATGGTGGCCACCTCATGGGCGTCTGGAGTGTGGGTGCTGGTGAGGTTGTGGGGCCACTCATTGTCTCTTTTTTTTTTTTTGAGTCGATCTTGCTCTGTCATCCCTCAGTGGTGTGATCTTGGTTCACTGCAATGTCTGCCTCCCAAATTCGAGCTATTCTCCTGCCTCAGTCTCCTGAGTAGCTGGGATTACAGGCACACACCACCATGCCCAGCTAATTTTGTGTTTTTAGTAGAGATGGGGTTTCCCCATGTTAGTCAGGCAGGTCTCAAACTTCTGCCGTCAAATGATCTGCCCTCTTCAGCCTCCCCAAGTGCTGGGCATACAGGCGTGAGCAGCCATGCCTGGCCGTCATAGGTGCTTTCTGATGTGTTGGTCGATTGTAACTCGGAATATTGGGTTCCACTTTACTGTCATCGTTGCACTTTGCTGGGTGAAATCTGGAATGGAAACGTTGCAGTGTATGAAGTGGCCTTCTACACAGATTGCTCGCTCTGCGGAATCACTGGAAGCGGGTTCAGCATCCAGCGGGTGAAATTGGAATTGAGCGGGACATGGGAGGAGAAAAGCACAATGGCGGGGTCGTCTGCATGGTGGTGGCGGTGGTAGAGGAGCCCAGGGCGGGCTTGGCGGGGCCCTCCCACCTCAGCCACCCTGTCCGCGGCAGCGTCTCCCGGAGCAGCCTGCTTCTGCTGGGCGGGGATTTTTCAGTGTGGTCATGCCTTCCGGCTGCGGTGTCCTCCTGCTTGTCTTTGGTGAGGACCCTGCGTCTTGGAAGCTGCATGTGCAGCCGAGAGCAGGCTGGCTGGTGCGACGAGCCCCATGGTGCTTCCCTGGCTGCCAGCTCCCAGGACAATCTGCTTCTGTACCCTCTCCCCCAGGCTGTTCTGAATTATTCTGAAACAAATTCCAGGCATCATTTTATTTCATCTGTAAACATTTTGGCATGTACATTTCTTTTTTTAAAAAAACTTTATTATGGAAAATTTCAAAGCTAAAGGTGGAGAAGCATGTGGTGCGGTCCCCGCACCCACCTCCAGCCCCCCGTTTACCGCTCATGTCTCATCTCTTTCTCCTGTCCTGTTCCACCCGGGTTATTGGCGGTAACTTAGATATAATAATCGTAAACATTGTATCTTTTCATCTACAAATGGCTCGCCATGTCTCTCCAAAAGACAGAGCTTGGAGTGTCACTGACCGCCGTCATCACACCTAACCCTGAATACATTCTCAGTGACGTCACACATTCGTCAGCCTGGGTGTACATGTTTTAAGTGTTTTACTTAATCAGAAACGGACGTACCCTGGCAGTGTACTTTCCTGTGGAAAATGATGTGGGACAGATGTCTTCCTGCGTGAGCTGGGCAGCCTGTCTGTTCCCTGGCGGTGGCTTCCCCATGTCGCCTCTGACTCGAGGGTCTGTTCTCCCTGTGGCCTTGCCACATGCCTCACACATTCCTGTTGCCGGGAGAGCCAGAGTGCACCCTGCTGTTGGCAGTTGCTTCACGTGACCTCGTTCACCAGAAGGTAAAAGCCATGGGGTCCTGGGGCCCTTTGTGGAAGGATTCACCTGTAAATGGTATGCACAGATGAGGAGGAGGCCACCTGGCCTGATGAGAACATGGGACAAATGCCGTGTTCAGGTCACGCGCAGGCACCAGAGTCTGCGTGCGTTCTTTTGGCTCTCAGTATTTTGTAGTCATTGGAAACAAACTAGGAACAAAAATTTCGTGAAGACACACTCATTGATTTTAATCTACTGTTTCATTTTTGCATTTTTTTTATTCAAAGCATCTAAAACTTTTTCACTGTAATTTATGTTTGGGTTCGCTGTGAAGAAGCTAAAGAAACTACCAAAGAAGTGATCCCTGCTGTCCAGACCACTTTCTTCCCAGGATCCTGGGGCAGCATGACCTCATTTGACTGCCACAGCGCTGCGTCTTCTCAAACGCTGTATGCATGCAAGTGTGGGCTCTGGAAATGTTTGCTGACTGAATGAGTGATGGAGCAAACTCCCTCTAACGTGAGCAGGAAATACAGCGGGGCAGACCTGCAAAAAGCACCAGCCTCGTGTCTCGGCTGCGTTTCGTGTCTCGGCTGCGTTTCGTGTCTGAAGAAGCGGGCATCCTCCTGGGGCCTCGGGGTGAATATGGTCCTTCCTGTGGGTCACATGACAAAATAACCCCCTCCTCAAATCTCTAAGGGCTGAAGGTCTGACTGATTTATTGTTTATGTATTAACTCATATCCTTTGAACAGAATAAATGTGTTTAACAAAAATTGGAGTGCTGCTCGAGGTGCCCAGGACCCCACAGAGCTGCAGCTTTTGAATTTTCTGTACTTAGAGCATGGTTCATTCTGAAAATTATATCCATTTAAATTTACTAAAACTTGGAAATGTAGATATCTTGAGGGTTTTCTTGAGATCTTTCAAGATAATCCTGACTCCATCCCCTGTAGCACAGCGTGTGTCGCAGCAGAGTCCCCACGCTCCATGCCACGTAGAACGTGGCTGTGTCTGTGTCCACTGCAGCCTGAGGCGTTCCTGTCAGAGGTGCCCCCGAGCCAGCCACGCTGCGCTATCTGTGTAGGGGAACAAGACCAGTATACGCTTGAGGTTGCTAAAGAAAGGAGACCATTGTGCTGGGTCTTCTCTGTTTTGTCCTGAATGTGTGGCTGATTTTACCAGTTTAAGAAAGGTACTGACTCACTTTATAGAAATTGTTTTTTGATTTGTCTGAATTTTTATTTTTTTTTACTGCAGTGAAATTTTAATTATTTATTTATTACTACCGTATTTTAAATGAAATCGTTGTTGAACTTGGCGGTGTCCTGATGAGTTTTGAAGTAAGGCTTTCCTTGTCTCCATCACCGCCTTGGTTTAGCTTAGTTCTGCGGGGCACCAAGTCCTGGAAGCCGCAGGTCTTGGTCTGCC